CTCTTGCATCCCCCCGCCCAAAAAATAAATAAGAGAGAGAGAGAGAGAGAAGGGAAAGGGAAAGAGAATAAAAAAGGAAAGGAAGAAGAATAAGAAAAGAGGGGCTCTTGCCTCCTCCCCCCTCACGCGCCAACAAATAAATAGGAGAGAGAGAGAGAGAGAGATAGAGAGAAGGGAAAGGGAAAGGGAAAGAAAATATAAAAGGAAAGAAAGAAGAAGAAGACGGAAAGAGGGAAACGGGGGAAGGGCGAAAGGCTCTTACCTCCCCCTCCCCCCTCCCGCCATAAAGGGAAAGAGAAGGGAGAGGGAAAGAAAATATAAAAGGAAAGAAAGAAGAGGAAAAAGAATAAGAAAAGGGGGAAACAGGGGCGAAGGGCTCTTGCCTCCTTTCTTTTCTTTCTTTTCCTTTCTTTCCTATTCTCCCTCTTTTTCGTTTTTCTCTTTCTTTCTTCTCTTTCCCTTTCCTTCTCTCTCTCTCTCTCTTATTTATTTTTTGGCGGGGGGCGGGGGGACGAGGCAAAAGCCCTTTGCCCCCGTTTCCCTCTTTTCTTCTTCTTCCTCATCTTTCTTTCCTTTTATCTTCTCTTTCCCTTTCCCTTTCCCTTCTCTCTCTCTCTCTGATTTATTTTTTGGCGGGGGGGGGGAGGGGGGGGGGGCAAGAGTCCTTCGCCCTTCCCCCGTTTTCCTCTTTTCTTCTTCTTCCTCTTCTTTCTTTCCTTTTATCTTCTCTTTCCCTTTCCCTTTCCCTTCTCTCTCTCTCTCTGATTTATTTTTTGGCGGGGAGGGGGGGGGGGGGTGAGGAGGAGGCAAGAGCCCTTCGGCCCCCCCCCCCCGTTTCCCTCTTTTCTTCTTATTATTGTTTTCTTTCCTTTTATCTTCTATTTCCCTTTCCCTTTTTTCCTTCTCTCTGTCTCCCCCAGCTAGGGCTGGTTTTATTTACGAAGCGCCCGTCAGGAGAGTACACGATAGAGTACACGATAAAATTGACGATATCGTGAACTTTATATAGTGAACTTTTCACGATAAAATTCACGATATCGTCAATTTCATCGTGAAAAGTTCACGATAAAGTTCACGATATCGTCAATTTCGTGAATTTCTTCGTGAAAAATATGCGATAAAATTGACGATATCGTGAATTTTATCGCATATTTTTCACGATTTAGTCTATTCGCGATGTCCCTTCAGGGCCACCATACACGCCAATATCCTTTGGCAAGACAGTAATCTACATTTGCTACCCTGAACCCAGGTGATGTAAATGGGTACAATATTTTTTGAATACCTAGCGTCTTATCAGGGTAGCTCGGCTGATCATCAGGGTAATAATTACTGCGCTTAGAATCATTAGTATTAAGCGCTGTATAAAATGTTGTTCCTATCATTATTATACTATTATAATCATTATCATTATCATTATAATGAGTAGAGAAGGCATACACACAAAATAATGATAAGGACTTGAAAAGTCGAGGAACAGAAAATCAGAGAAAGCGATTATGTATAGAAAAAGACATGATCCATGCAATATGCTTTCTGGTTAATTCAATTTCAATTCAATTTATTTCTCCACAAATGCAAAACATAGGGAAATACATTAAAATAAAATACCTCTCTAAAAAAAAATAGAGTGATCACGGACGTCACTCCTCTGGAGAGTGAAAATGTAGTGAAATAGAGTGAACGTTCACTCTTTTCTTCTTAGAGAGCACTCTAAAATCAATCGATTTTCACTCCTAAACAAGTGATCACGGACGTTACTCCCAAGAAAGAGAAAGAGAAAGAGAATAATAGAATATGTGCATCATAATACCAACGACTCCATATGGAGCAATCATCAATGTATGTTTTAAAAGAACAAATCAGTAAATGTGGGAGGGGTAGTCAAAAATCAAAAATGATTTGTCGAGTCGGACTACATCGGGGGACTACATGCCAGCATGTTATAAATAACGAGAGATAAAGGGCATAAAGAGCCTTGCCGATGTAATGTCTGGAACATAATGATAATAATAATAACTTTTACTTATATAGCGCTTTTATATCAAAGCGCTTTACAATATTGATACAAGTAAAACTAAACAGACTATGACAAGAGAACAACTTTAAAGTGAAATTATCAAACATAAGATAACAAGGTAAGGTAACACTGAATATGCATTTTCCATTAGGTGGGTTTTTAATTATGATCTAAACAAAGTAATATCAGAGATGCAACGAATGGAGGCTGGAAGAGAATTCCACAAACGTGGAGCAGAGCATGAAAAGGATCTATCACCAAAGTATTTTGTTTTTGATTTTTTAACATTCAAGAGAGTTTGATTTGCAGAACGAAAGGGCCTATTGGGTGTGTATAACTGAATCAGTTCAGACAGATAATTTGGGGCATCATGATTATTTTAGAGACTGAAAGGTAAAAAAAGAACTTTGAACTGGACACGAAATTGAATGGGGAGCCAATGCAATTGGTCAAGGGTTGGTGTAAAATGGTTTTGTTTTTTGGTGAGAGAAACTCGACGTACTGCAGAGTTTTGGATTCTCTGCAGCTTGAGGTTGGTCTAAAGTTTCTCAAATTTTCTGCATCCAAAGTTTCAAAGTCAGGCCTAAAACAAAAATGTTGTATTGCCCTTTAGGTGCCAAAACATGGGTCGGTCGGTCGGAAATCTTTCTCTTTTTTTTACTCCCCCTTTGGGCTGATATTTCTCAATTTTGAATGCTAGTACTTTTGCTAGTAATGGGGGGGGGGGGGGGTGACAGCTGGGAGCCAAGGCCCTTTCGGCCCCCGATCTGCTTCCCCCCCCCCCTTTTTTCCCTTCTTCTTCTTCTTCTTTCTTCCCCTTTCTCTCCTCTTTCATTTTCCCTTCTTTTCCTTCTCTCTCTCTCTCTCTGGGGGGGGGGGGGGGGGGGGGGGGAGCAAGGCCCTCCCGATGGTCTTTTGATGGTGGGATGAATCAAACAGACATAAATGGTACAAAGTAAAAGTGTGATAGTGTTCATGCATCGTGATCGTTGACAATAAATAACAACTGAATATTTCAAGCGTTTATAAAACAAGTAGGCTAAACAAAACAAAATTGTGTAATCGGGGTACATGAGCTGCACTTGCACCCATGCGAAGCTGCACGAGACAAAGGGAACGTCGATTTGTTAGTGCTAAATTCAACTAATCAACATAGAAATCCAACATTTATTAACATAATGTTAATATCAAGTATTTGTGCCGGGGACGGTATGTATCTAATTGGCATCTTAAACCAAAGAAGTATGTCGCCCTCTTTCGCAATATGCACTATAGTTTTTGCAAATGGGTTTTGGTCATAGAGATATATACTATATCTCTATGGTTTTGGTTTTAGTATTTAGGATCTTATACAAAAGAAGTATTTCGCCCTCTTTCGCAATATGCACTACAGTTTTTGCAACTGGATTTAGTATCTAGCATCTTATACAAAAGAAGTATGTCGCCCTCTTTCGCAATATGCACTATAGTTTTTTGTAACTGGATAATTTACCCAAAATAATGTAGGTAATACTTTTTTCGCTTGTCATGGAATAATTTGGAGTGGTAAGACCGGGGTAAGACACCGATAATTTCTCGTAGATTGTTGTTGGTGTTGTTGTTTTGTTTATTTATTTTTATTTTTATTGATCATGTCGTTTGTAATTCTCCTGTATTCATGTTCGTGTGTACATTAACTGAATATTCAACAATTCAATTCATTTATTTTTCCTCTTTCAATCGTTCATATTTACAATGATGGTACATTTTAACATATTCACATATATATACATAAATAAACAATGGTGTGTAATCGTCCATGACCTAGCATCGTTTAGCCATTCATGAATGAACCTGCATTCAATCAGCAGATGTATGAGATTTATTGTATTATTACCAACGCTCCTTCTCCCCCCTTTCCTTTTCTTCTCTGCAAGTCACTTTTTTATTTTTTCATTTGTATTGTTGTATCTAAGTTGAGGGCTGCGGGCACGTCAAGCTACTTTGCTTATTTATGTAGCCCTCCTGCATCTAATATATGTTAATTATGCATTCAATATATTTGCTTAATTTCGTTTATTATGTGCATAAAATTATAGACACTTAAAATATTGTTTCAAACCATATTATGTTCATGAAAATGTATGATGAAAAAAAGATGCAGAAACCAATAAATCAAAATTAAATAAAATCAAAAACATTTTGTTGTTGTTTCTTCTGTTTTGATTGTAAAACAAAAATCGTTGCTTTATTTTTAAAATATCGCGCCCCACGAGGCTCACGAGGATCCGCGCCAGAGTTAATTTTGCAGATCTACTGTAATGATGAACATTTATCATAACATGCACTTCTATCCCGACTTCTATAACCTCGTCCTTATTCTTTGGAGTTACAATGGGCGGGGCCATCTCGCCGGCATGCACGCATTGCAAAGAAGGTACTGAATATTCATAATAACTTTTGACCAATTAGGTGGCTACTCGTTACATACGTGTCAGACAGAGTTACAATGGGCGGGGTCATCTCCCCGGCACGTGCATTGCAAAGAAAGTACTGAATATTCATGATAACTAACTTTTGACCAATACGATGGCTCAATATACGGCAGCTTATGATCTTGCTTCACTGCGTGCCCTTATTTGGTCATGTTTTGTCAGTGCAGTGACAGCACCATCCCGATGGCACCACCCATAAGTCCCTCCATTTTTGTAATGTGACAGGGGTTGAATGTATTGAAGGGAATAATACCGATTAAACGTTTATACGAAATCATTGTCTTGCTAATTGGAAAAGGACCATAGAACATTATCAGGTGGAATGTTAATAATTCAGACATCGTTAAATAAATGAAAACTAGAGAAAATAAAAATAAAAATACACATATAAAATACAGAATCCCCACATCATAATGAGATGACCTTGCAGTGCGCGCATTTATGTGGCGCATGTGCTAGAGCGCGCGCAGTTTTAAAATTAAAAGCGTGCATTGATTAATTGCACGTGTGTATTCTAAATCAAACCCGAGAATAAAACTAAAAGTAAACGTTTAAATTTGATAGTAATTCCAATTTCTACACCGTCAACGCTGCACCGCTAACCAAGAAAAATTCATCAACATGTACGACGAAGAAGTTGCCGCCCTTGTTGTTGATAATGGCTCTGGAATGTGTAAAGCAGGATTTGCAGGAGATGATGCGCCGAGAGCTGTGTTTCCTTCCATCGTTGGCAAACCACGCCACCAGGTAAAAATAGAAGAAGAAAGAAACAATTTGGAAGTTGAAAGATCAAAGAACATGAATTGCACGAGATAGATCTAGAGTAAAACCACCAAACTTCGGACACTTAAGTCAAAACGGGGGAAAACATTAAATTCTTTTTTTAATTATTGAAAGATCAAACATACTAGATTCTATTATTGTACAAATACTGTTTATGTATAGACTAGATCTATCATGTAAAAGAAAATTACTAAAGGAAATGGAAAACTAGAATTCTATTTACTTACCCGCCGAACCTGTTTTTATGCCAAGCTTCGGACGCACTTGCCAAGCTTCGGACGTTCATGTTCAGCGCACAAATGAAGAGCTTGATTCCAAAAGGAGCTAGATCTAGGTCTAGGGTCTAAATCCATATTTTGTTAAAAATTGAGTTAGACTAGATTCTAGATCTAGACTAGATCTAGATCTAGATTTCTAGAGTCTTATCTGTCTTAAAATAGGCCCTAATGATTTCCTACATGGGGACAAAAATATGCACTAGGGTCTAGTCTAGATCTAGTCTATCTATGTCTAGATCTATACCTAGTAGATCTAGACCTAGACTATCTAGAAACACATTCCAAAATTTCAGCAGGAAGTATGATTTTAATGAACAAATAGAGATCTAGATCTAGATCTAGTCTAGATCTAAAGTTACAATATCATGTTTCATTCCAAAAGGAGCTAACTTTTAGATTCTAAATCCAAATTGGTTTCATTCCAAAAGGAGCTAGAAGTACTAGATCTAGAAGTCTAAATCCACTTTGGGTAATTCTGAGTAGACTTTAGACCTCTAAATCGCCTTTTTATATAGACCTAGGCCTAGAGTCTATCCACTTTCCGGCTTAAGCCATGCACCTTCATGTTGTTATTGGTCTACATGTTAAAGGTGTCGCCCTGGACCAATAATATAGATCTAGACCTTCTGTTCTAGGCCTAGATCTAGATAAGATCTATGATAAGAAAAATAGAGTCTAATTAAAAGTTGTTTCTGATTTTTACTAAATTTTAGATTTTGTGGATTTAGCTCCTTTTGGAATGAAACATGATGGATGAAACAAATTATGCCAGAGACGGCACTCCCAGGGGGGGGGGGGGGGGGGATTTGTCTTTGCCCCCTACTTTTTTAGGTACCCCGTGTCCTTTTCCACTCTTTTCATCTCTGATAACAGATGAGTAGATCTAGTCTAGAGAGTCTACCTCTTTTCAGGTGCAAGAATTTCACCTCTGATATTTTTGCCCTTTTTTTATACCGACTCGTGCCCCCTTTCCTTTTTAATAAGTGCAATTTTTCTCTTCTCTTTGTCTTAAATGCCACTTTAACCTCTGATAAGTGCCTCTTTTATTGTGACAAGTTCCCCTTTGCCTTTCTAATATTAAGTACCATATTTCCTTCGGACAAGTGCCCCTTTTTTCTTTTTTATATGAGCCCCTCCCCTTTTCAAAATGCCCCTTTTAACATCTGATAACTGCCCCTATTAAAATTCTGATAGGTGCCCTTTTCATTTAAAAGATTCCCCTTTTTCTCCTCTGTTAATACTTGCCTTTCATTTATACTTTCACACGAGCACCTTTTCATTTCTAATGACTGTCCTTTTCACTTTTGATAAGTGCCTACTTTTCCTTTCTTCATAACATACACCCCTAATTCAAGGCGACTTAGAAGTTAGAGCCTCTTTTTCTATAACTTTCCTAGAAATCGCTTCCTCGCATTTATACTTTAGATGTTATACTTATGTTACTTCTAAAAGAACTTTTCAGTCTTATTTGTTATGTTTCTCTTTGTAGGAACCCCCTTTTTTTTGCCCCCCCCCCACCATTTTGGAAGACGCACGCCGCCCCTGCATTATGTTACTTGGTGGTGATGCAGATTTTGTTCTGACCCCCCAAAATATTTTTGCTCATTACGCCACTACCTGAAGCTAAATCTATTGGATCGGTGTACCAGGTAGACAGAAGTAACAGTCTGAACCCAATCGGGGGAATTCTTTAGTTAAAACTGACAGTGGAGCCAGACAAAGAATTATTGTTTCTGTTAATGTTAGTGTACTGATACTGAATACCATGTTACTGTTATGAAAAGAGATTTTAGTGTGTGGTTCTTGCGACGTCGACTGTCGTCTGTCTGTGCATAGAATCTACATATGTGAGTGTAAAGATGGTAAAAAAATGTCAGTTTTAAGAATTCCCCATACCAGTGCCCACAGAGGGGTCACTCCCGCACCCGCGTCCAGAAAAAGCTATACGGCGGTTTTTCAAGCACTGATCGCACAAAAACCAAAAAAAGGGTACGTTTTCAGATTCACAGCTTCGGCGTCGTCTACGTTTTCCTTAAGAAGGGGGTGTTTTTCAAGCACTGATCGTACAAAAAAAAACCCAAAAGGATACCTTTTCAGGGTCACTGGTTTCGACGTTTTCTTTACAAAGGGTCATTTTAGAAAAGGTACGATACGCCATTAGGGTTCATTTCAGATGTTGATGGACATGGATGGGTAGCATTTGTTTATGAGAGTGACCCCCTGGGCCAGTGTCACTACTACTTGACGATTATTTTTGTCCAGCACTAAAAGAAGGCTAGATTCTGCTGTTTCAACTGTGCTCTACTAACTAGTAGTAGACCTAGTACTAACATTCAGAATCAGACATTTTTTTTGTTTTCTCGTTTCTTTTTTCCTGTTAAAAAAAAAGTTGTTTTATTGTGAGGGGCGGGGAAGGTGTTTGTTTTGTTTTTCTGTTATAGGCTCAACATCATCTAGACCTAGATCTCTTTAAAATATACATATAACAAGTTAGAATCTAGACCTAGACCACTTTTGTTTATTCTAGAGTCTACACTAAGGACTAGATCTCTATAATATATCCCATGAGTTTGAAATATTTGATTTTTGTTGTTGTAATTAATTACTCCCATTTCAAAATGCAAGATACAACATCAATTCTAGGTCTAAACTTCTAAATAAATTTGTTAGACATACACAAAATACATTAGTCAATATTTCTGAATTTTTCAGCACTACCAGTTTAATTAGTCTAGGTCTAGAGTCTGTATTTCAAATGTGAATTTGCTGTCGGAATCAAATATCATGAACATCATATCATCTAACATGCAAGTTCATTTAAATTCCTAACTAGATCTAGGTCTATTTTTTTTATAGATATTAAAGATTTTATTAATTTTTGTAAACATTTTCAGGGAGTGATGGTTGGTATGGGGCAAAAGGACAGTTACGTTGGAGACGAGGCCCAGAGCAAGAGAGGTATCCTCACCCTGAAGTACCCCATCGAGCATGGCATCATTACCAATTGGGATGATATGGAGAAGGTCTGGCATCACACTTTCTACAATGAACTCCGTGTTGCCCCAGAGGAGCACCCCGTCCTCCTGACTGAGGCTCCCCTCAACCCGAAGGCCAATAGGGAGAAAATGACACAGGTGAGATAAATAAAGGTTTGGGTACTTTGGTAGTCCTAAGACTAAGGCTAAATGTTATTGACTTTTTACTTTTTAATTTGAATGTAACTTTCGGATGATATACTATACAATGTATTTAAAAGAACTCGACATAAGACTGCAGTAAAATATGATTTAAGTATTTTATTTTTTGCATTTATTACCTTCACCCCTTACCCAGCTCATGTTTGAGACCTTCAACGTTCCAGCCATGTATGTTGGCATCCAGGCAGTGCTGTCCCTCTACGCCTCTGGTCGTACAACAGGCATCGTGCTGGACTCTGGGGATGGCGTTTCCCACACTGTGCCTATCTACGAGGGCTACGCTTTACCCCATGCAATCCTTCGCTTGGACCTTGCTGGCAGAGATCTGACCGACTATCTCATGAAGATCTTGACCGAGAGGGGCTACTCGTTCTCCACTAGTGGTCAGTAGGCCTAGAAGTAGTAGTAGTATTTTGTAACTCCCTTTAACATCAATGTATGATGGCATTGAAGCTCATCAGAATCATTGAAGTTTAGTTTCTTGCTTAAATCGTCACTGGCAGGGGTGTGAAGGACTGTCAAATTAAGATCTTTCCGGAGAAGCTATACTACTTCTCCGATAGTGGTCAATTGTAGTATTAATAGTGATTTTCTCTAACATGTAAGGTGGCATTGAAGCTCTCACAATTAATGAAGATTAGCTCAATCACGTTAATATCAGGGGGTATGGACTTATTCTCATACTAAACAGGAGGTATCTGACTAACTAATGGAGATATTAACTTAGTGTGAGGGAGGGGTCCTTTTAGAATTTAGGTCAGTACCATTTGTGATTTTCTTTAAAACTATATAAGACAAATTTATCAAGAGTTGGTCCCTTGATTAATGGAACACAAAGAGTTGACCTCTTCATTCTGAAGGGAAAAAATGGTCAATAGCTAAATAGGGGTTAATGAACTTACAATAGGCTATGAAATCTAGGCCGTTGTAAGTAAGCTATGGTAATGATTCTTCTTAAACATAGTATGCCTTTCTACTTATGAGTCACCATATGTTCACTATAAACAGGGTTTTTCTGGACAGATGTCCATCGTCATTTACTTTGCGATGGTCTACTGAAGATGTGAACATATTCACTCCATTTATTTCAGCAGTGTAACTTTCTATGGAATGTATTAGCTCAAGTAGTTGACTTCAGAGATTCAAATTTTAGGAAATGTGATGAAGCCTGTGCCATTGATAATTGGCAAATCTTGTTTAATCATTCTTGAATTTTACTAAAAATTCATGATCCTAATAAGATCATCTCGATTTGATTCTATTCTGCCATAAAATGGTTTCAACAGGATTAAAACCTTCTTATAGCTTTTGATATTGTTATTGAATATATAAAATGTCCAACTGAGAAGTTATTATTTGCAGAGATAAAATTATATTTACAACGATTTGTATACAGCTGAGCGTGAGATTGTGCGTGACATCAAGGAGAAGCTGTGCTATGTGGCCCTAGACTTTGAGCAAGAGATGGTGACTGCTTCTACATCGGCTGCCTTAGAGAAGAGCTATGAACTCCCTGATGGACAGATCATCACCATCGGTAACGAGAGATTCCGATGCCCAGAGGTCCTCTTCCAGCCTGCTTTTGTGGGTAAGGATTAAATGCATAGTCAGCAGCAACAGCAGCCTTTGCCCAAGGGATTTCACTAAAATTAGAAAAAGTTTTTTTTGAATGAGGGAAAGGACTGGAGTTGGTCCAAAATTACTTACCAGCTTCATTTGTAAGACACCTATTTTCTTAAAAATTTACAGAAGAATATGTTTTGTGATTGGTTATTTGCTACATGTAGGCATGAAGAAAATGTATGTCCTTAATACTAACATATTTCATGGTATTATGGATAATCATGGACATCGTTAGAGTGGGAGTGTATAAAATCTTTAAATTGATACCAATTTTCCCTTGGGGTAGTTGACTGTATATATATATATATATATATATAAACCCTGAATAATAATGAGAATTCTAGTGTAATAATGTGAAATTTGTATACCTTCTTTTTCCACAGACAGGTGAAAATGATATCTTTGGCCTCATTCTGTCGATTTTCTTTTACTAATTCTCCAACAGGTATGGAGGCTGCTGGACTCCATGAGACCACCTACAACAGCATCATGAAGTGTGACGTGGACATTCGCCGCGACCTCTACGCCAACACCGTCATGTCTGGAGGTTCCACCATGTACCCTGGCATCGCTGACCGCATGCAGAAGGAGATCACCGCCCTTGCTCCAAGCACCATGAAGATCAAGATCATCGCTCCCCCTGAGAGGAAGTACTCTGTTTGGATCGGAGGATCCATCCTTGCCTCCCTCTCCACCTTCCAGCAGATGTGGATCAGCAAACAGGAGTACGACGAAGCAGGACCCTCCATTGTTCATCGCAAATGCTTTTAATTTGCGACGGTTTTGCAGGCGTTATGCTCTGATAATTTCAGTTCGATGAATTGTTTTTTATATTCACTTTTAAATGAATTGGAGATTCGGTACATTACCGACTATGTATTTTGTTTTGAAGACTTGTGATTAATCTAACTTGATTGCAAATCCTCCCTAGATTCGCATCAATCGCAACTCTTAAAAAGACAGCCTTGAATGATTTAGTCATATTCTTTTGTTTAATGAGAAATAGTATAACAAAATCAATGTTTGCGGCAGTAATGGAAATTGTTCTTTTGACGAAGGTAATGGTGTTGCTGGTGAAGATGAGGATGATGATGAAAACCACGACAGTAACTCATATTTCAATTGACCATGTTGAACATTCATAATGCTATTGTATCGCCATTAGAAAATTAAAGTAGTCTTTACGTTTATTTCTTGTACATTTAAGGTACGTTGGATCATTTAAATAATGGCTCTTTAGCCATCCCATGCAAGGGCAAGGCTTCAGTATTTATGGCCGTACCACTGATCTTCAAAATAATCTTCAAAATTGTCGGGAAGAAACACAAGAAGAAGAAGAAAGTGATTCTTTGCAGTGGCGTAGACAGCGTTTATTATATACATGCAAGATGGGTTGGGATGATAAATAGATAATTCTCACTGACAATAGATACTTATTGGTGTCTGTGCCAGATCTGCTCCATGCCATGCCCTGATTAAGAGTCTATAGGCCAAATACTTGCCATTAGTAAATTTAAAGATATTTAAAAATTTATTTACATTCTGTTATATATTATAATATTATATGGATCTCATGATTATTCAAATTGTTATTTTATTTTGTTCATATATATTTTTACATACGTATATATATATACGTACATGTTTTTGTTATTTTTTATTTAAGATGCATTGAATCACCTAATGATAATGGTATTTATTGTCCTTATAAATCTTTAGCCAAACACTCACCATTGAAGAAGAAGAAAAACATCAAAATTGTTATTTTTAAGATACAGTTTAATTTAAAATACATAGGATCTCTTTTTGATAATTCTTTAGTCTTGACTAGGCGGGAGACCAGCCTGTTGTTATTTTTAAGATACAGTTTAATTTAAAATACATAGGCTCTCTTTTTGATAATTCTTTATTCTTGACTAGGCGTGAGACCAGTCTGTTATTTTAAGATACAGTTTAATTTAAAATACATAGGATCTCTTTTTGATAATTTTTTAGTCTTGACTAGGCGGGAGACCAGCCTGTTGTTATTTTTAAGATACAGTTTAATTTAAAATACATAGGATCTCTTTTTGATAATTCTTTAGTCTTGACTAGGCGGGAGACCAGTCTGTCGTTATTTTTAAGAAACAGTTTAATTTAAAATACATAGGATCTCTTTTTGATAATTCTTTATTCTTGACTAGGCGGGAGACCAGTCTGTTGTTATTTTTAAGATACAGTTTAATTTAAAATACATAGGATCTCTTTTTGATAATTCTTTAGTCTTGACTTGGCGGGAGACCAGTCTGTTGTTAATTTTAAGATACAGTTTAATTTAAAATACATAGGATTTCTTTTTGATAATTCTTTATTCTTGACTTGGCGTGAGACCAGTCTGTTGTTATTTTTAAGATACAGTTTAATTTAAAATACATAGGATCATTTTTTGATAATTCTTTAGTCTTGACTAGGCGTGAGACCAGTCTGTTATTTTTAAGATACAGTTTAATTTAAAATACATAGGATCTCTTTTTGATAATTCTTTAGTCTTGACTAGGCGTGAGACCAGTCTGTTGTTATTTTTAAGATACAGTTTAATTTAAAAAACATAGGATCATTTTTTGATAATTCTTTAGTCTTGACTAGGCGGGAGACCAGTCTGTTATTATTTTTAAGATACAGATTAATTTAAAATACATAAGATTTCTTTTTGATAATTCTTAGTCTTGACTAGGCGGGAGACCAGTCTGTTGTTAATTTTAAGATACAGTTTAATTTAAAATTCATAGGATCTCTTTTTGATAATTCTTTAGTCTTGACTAGGCGGGAGACCAGTCTGTTGTTATTTTTAAGATACAGTTTAATTTAAAATACATAGGCTCTCTTTTTGATAATTCTTTATTCTTGACTAGGCATGAGACCAGTCTGTTATTTTTAAGATACAGTTTAATTTAAAATACATAGGATCTCTTTTTGATAATTTTTTAGTCTTGACTAGGCGGGAGACCAGCCTGTTGTTATTTTTAAGATACAGTTTAATTTAAAATACATAGGCTCTCTTTTTGATAATTCTTTATTCTTGACTAGGCGTGAGACCAGTCTGTTATTTTTAAGATACAGTTTAATTTAAAATACATAGGATCTCTTTTTGATAATTTTTTAGTCTTGACTAGGCGGGAGACTAGCCTGTTGTTATTTTTAAGATACAGTTTAATTTAAAATACATAGGATCTCTTTTTGATAATTCTTTAGTCTTGACTAGGCGGGAGACCAGTCTGTCGTTATTTTTAAGAAACAGTTTAATTTAAAATACATAGGATCTCTTTTTGATAATTCTTTATTCTTGACTAGGCGTGAGACCAGTCTGTTGTTATTTTTAAGATACAGTTTAATTTAAAATACATAGGATCTCTTTTTGATAATTCTTTAGTCTTGACTTGGCGGGAGACCAGTCTTTTGTTAATTTTAAGATACAGTTTAATTTAAAATACATAGGATTTCTTTTTGATAATTCTTTATTCTTGACTTGGCGTGAGACCAGTCTGTTGTTATTTTTAAGATCACAGTTTAATTTAAAATACATAGGATCATTTTTTAGATAATTCTTTAGTCTTGACTAGGCGTGAGACCAGTCTGTTATTTTTAAGATACAGTTTAATTTAAAATACATAGGATCTCTTTTTGATAATTCTTTATTCTTGACTAGGCGGGAGACCAGTCTGTTGTTAATTTTAAGATACAGTTTAATTTAAAATACATAGGATCTCTTTTTTAAAATTCTTTAGTCTTGACTAGGCGTGAGACCAGTCTGTTGTTAATTTTAAGATACAGTTTAATTTAAAATACATAGGATCATTTTTATGCCTCCGCCACCGAAGCTGGTGCCGGAGGCATCGTGTTTTCGGGTTGTCCGTCCGTACGTCCGTCCCGTTTGACCGTTATCACAATATCTCAAGAACCATTTAAGATTTAAACTTAAGACTCGGGAATAGTATTTATCACCATAGGAAGACGATCTGATTAGATTTTGGAGTACGTAGGTCAAAGGTCAGAGGTCAACTTATGAAATTCCTTGTATTGAGTTTGTTAGCGCGATATCTCAAGAACCATTTGAGATTTAAACTTCAAACTTAAGGATAGTATGTATCACCATAGGAAGACGATCTGATTAGATTTTGGAGCACGTATGTCAAAGGTCAAGGGTTACAGAGGTCAACTTATGAAATTCCATACATTGAGATTGTTATCATGATATCTCAAGAACCACTGGAGATTTAAAATTCAAACTTAGTGATAGTGTGTATCACTATAGGAAAACAATCTGATTACATTTTGGAGCACGTAGGTCAAAGGTCAAGGGTCATAGAGGTCAACTTATGAAATTCCATACATTGAGATTGTTATCATGATATCTCAAGAACCACTGGAGATGTAAAAACTTCAAACTTAAGGATAGTATGTATCACCATAGGAAGACAATCTGATTAGATTTTGGAGCATGTAGGTCAAAGGTCAAGGGTCACAGAGGTCAACTTATGAAATTCCATACATTGAGATTGTTATCATAATATCTCAAGAACCACTGGAGATTTAAACTTCAAACTTAATGATAGTGTGTATCACCATAGGAAGACAATCTGATTAGATTTTGGAGCACGTAGGTCAAAGGTCAAGGGTCACAGAGGTCAACTTATGAAATTCCATACATTGAGATTGTTACGCGATATCTCAAGAACCACTGGAGAATTTTCACTTCAAACTTAATGATAGTATGTATCACCATATCATGATATCTCAAGAACCACTGGAGATTTAAACTTCAAACTTAATGATAGTGTGTATCACCATAGGAAGACAATCTGATTAGATTTTGGAGCACGTAGGTCAAAGGTCAAGGGTCACAGAGGTCAACTTATGAAATTCCATACATTGAGATTGTTATCATGATATCTCAAGAACCACTGGAGATTTAAACTCCAAACTTGTTTAAATTGCTCTATGGCGGAGGCATCATTTTCGACTGCGCGCAGTCAAAATTCCATCTAGTTTGATAATTCTTTAGTCTTGACTAGGCGTGAGACCAGTCTGTTATTTTTAAGATACAGTTTAATTTAAAATACATAGGATCTCTTTTTGATAATTCTTTAGTCTTGACTAGGCGTGAGACCAGTCTGTTGTTATTTTTAAGATACAGTTTAATTTAAAAAACATAGGATCATTTTTTGATAATTCTTTAGTCTTGACTAGGCGGGAGACCAGTCTGTTGTTATTTTTAAGATACAGATTAATTTAAAATACATAAGATTTCTTTTTGATAATTCTTTAGTCTTGACTAGGCGGGAGACCAGTCTGTTGTTAATTTTAAGATACAGTTTAATTTAAAATACATAGGATCTCTTTTTGATAATTCTTTAGCCTTGACTAGGCGGTAGACCAGTCTGTTTTTTTTTTTTGTGAATATGCTTGGCTGAGACTATGTTACACTCCATTGAATCTCTCTCTTGAGAGAGAGAGGGAGAGCCTCGTAAAGTCAAATGATTTTTTTTTTAAACTCCTTCATCCAGATTGATATTCCGTCTAAATCTAGACGTGCTTTTGTTACTATACAGATGTACATTGATTGTTAGCATTGATTTAAATCTGTAGACATATTAAAATTAATCTAGATGTATTGATATTGGTCAGTATATGATTTGTTTTAATATTTCAGGGTGATGCAGAGAGATATTTTACTTTGAAATTTGATAGGATTATAAGTCTTATTATTATTTGGATTGTCATATTAATTTAGATATTTCGTTTTGCTAAAAAGATATTTGGATACTGTCGTTTTGTATGTATTTGTTTATAAATTTCTATTTGGCACCTTCCAATTTTGGTCATTACATCATTACTTAATTGACAGACTAAAGCATTACTGTGGTGAAAAGCAATAGGCACAATCAACTTCTCATGAAATAAAAATGTAATTTCTAGAAATATTCAAATTGAGATTAAAGGTAAAGACCAGTATTGGCAACGCCCCAATTTCAAAAAATGAAATGGAAGCTCTCATTACCAATCATGTGAAAGAATATGTTTTGACTAATACATGATGATAAAAAAATTGCCGGGAAACCGCCTACTAATTCATATATTTGGTAAATTTATTTCTCTCATGGTCTGGTGAGAGAGATAGGGTAGTCCCATATACATCTTTCTGTGTATAGTGCTTGTAACTTTACGAAGAATGGGCCAAATTTCTTATCATTTTGATGGTTCCAGAACCTTGCAGATGCTAGATGCTAGATGATCAACCTTTTCTGATCGATTCCACAACGTTTCTTTCACAATGCAATCGCATGACCATTACTGGTCTTTACCTTTAAGGTTTTAATTTATTGATATATATTCAGCAAAAAAAAAAAAACACAGAAAATTATTATTAGAAATATCAGAAAAAATGTCGGCATCCTATCTGGCACTTCATATACAAGTCGTTCGTAAAGTCATGCGTAACTTTACGAACAGCTTTATGTAACACCCCCCTGATAATATCTCATTTTTTAGAATTATGTATACATTATATCTTTATGTTTTTGGAAGGGGGAGAGAGAGAGAGAGAGAGAAGGAACAGACGATGGAATACATAGAAGGGGGAGAAGAGAGAGGTCGAGGTGAGAAGGGCGAGGAGAGAAAGGGGGGGGGGGGGGTCGCAGAATGGGGAAAGACAAAAATAATGAACATGCGAGGAGAATGTCTAACGGCAGGATTGAAAATGGATACTGCAGCGACAGTAATTTATTTTTTTGTCAGTATTGTATTTTGTTTCTTTTATTGATTAAAAGACAATCGAATAACGGTAAAATCAAGATAAAATGAGAGTAAAACATTAATTAACAACTGAAAATGCAGCATTTAAAATATATATCAGTAAGTAAAACGGTGTTTAAATGTGTAATCACATGTCGCAACTATATACATTTACGAAAATGTATAGCAAGTTTGCCACTCGGTACCCAAGATAGTGATAAACTTTATTAGAGGGGCCAGTGGCGTAGCCTGGGCTAAATAATCGGGGGGGGGGTACAGTCTTTAATTTATTAGATCAGAGTTTTTTCAACTTTATTTTTTCTTTGCATCCACTTACGAGTTTAAAAGTTTTGCGTCAACCTAAAAATTCTTAACAGAGAACCATCCTTCGTACACATCTCTCATATTTACGCGAGAGACCTTAATGAAATAAATCCGACGGTCACCCAAATAATGTGAGTGGAGCGAAGCCAGAGATTGAAAAAAAAAAAAAAAGAAGCTAATCATCATTATGAAATACACGAAATGTAAAATTATATATTCACTCATCCCGTTCCCAGGAATCATCATAATATATCAATTTTAACGAGCGACCATCAGATCACCCCAAAACAGTTTTCGAATCGATTAATGCATCTCTTATATATAGCCTCTTTATTTAAGACTTAAGTCCCCACGTTACTGTTCACATAATCTTTGAAGAGCGTTTTCGAGCAACCTCCAGTGGCGTACCTGGGGTACTCCGTCGGGGGGGGGGGGGGGGGGCAAGCGACCGAAACAAACAAAAAAGGCGATGCTAATTTTCACTTCTGGCGAGCGAGCGGGCAAAAAAAATAATCTTTAAGTAACGTTTGGTATATAAACTGGTATTGTTGCAAGTTGGGGGTGGGAACATTCACTTGTTAGCGACGTTAATTTCATTTTTTTGCAAACGAGTGTAGCGAGCAAGAAAAAAAATCACTTCTTTTTTAATAATTGCCACTTAAACTTGGTTCAATTGTCCCATGCAGGGCGCGGGAACAATATTGTGTTTAGGGTGATTTTATACCCATTTTAGCTAGCGAGCGAAAATACATCTTTCTCTCAATGAATTGCTATATAAAATGTGTTTCATTGTTGCAGGTAGGGGCGGGCACAATCGTGTTTAAGGCAATGTCAATCCCATTTTGGCGGGCAGGCAACCCCCTACATTTCTCTTTTTAATGATATTGTAGCAGGTTAGTGGTGGGCACATAATTCCACGAGCTAGCGAGCGTAGCGAGCGAAAAAAAAAATTACTTCTCTTTTATAGGGAAAATATGGTACATAAAACTTGGGTTCATTGTTCCATGTCAGGGACGTGATTATTAAAAGCAGTGTTATTTCTATTTTGGCGAGCGAGCGAAGCGAGCGAGCAAAAAAAATCACTTATCTTTTATAGGGAAAATATGGTATATAAACTTGGGTTCATTGTTCCATGTCAGGGATGTGATTATTAAAAGCGGTGTTATTTCTATTTTGGCGAGCGAGCGTAGCGAGCGAGCAAAATTTTTGTAATGATAATTGGTTCATAAATTTCAGATTTTTTTGTTGCAGGGCAGGGCTTACACAATCATGTCTAAGGTGATGTTAATTCCGTTTTGGCGAGCACGAGCGCACCAAAACTTCTTTGAATAACGTTTGGTACATGCAGGTTGGGGCGGGCACGTTAGCGGTGTCAATTCCATTTTGGCAAGCGAGTATAGCGAGCAAGCAAAAAAAATAAATTCTCTTTTAATAGAAATTAATAAATGAACTTGTTTTTATTGGTGCAGGTCAGGATGGACGCAATCGCGTTTATCGCGATTCAATTCCTTTTTGGCGAGAGGGCGAAAAAACTCTTCCATTTTTAATGATATTGTTGCAGGTCAAGGGTGGGCACTTATTGTTTCCAAAGCAATGTCTATTCATTTTATTCGCGAGCGAGTGTAGCGAGCGAGAAAAATGAATTAGTCTCTTTTAGTAACATTTGGTACATATATTGTGTGTTATTGTTGCCATGGTTGCAGGTCGGGGCCCGTCGGGGCAGGCACAATTGTATTCTAGGCAATACTAATCCTTTTCTTTTTTCAGGGGGACGAGCAAGTGAAAACATTTAATACAAGATAGGCTAGCAAGCAGTTCGCGCCAGCGAAGAGTCTGAATTTGTTATATCACTTATATTTTCCTATTTTCATTTGTTTTAATTTTTCAGGGCCGTATGCGGAATATTTTTCTGGTGGGGGAGGGGGAAAGATGCGTTAAAAGTTTTCGAAGAATCTCAAAAGCAAAAGGAGTGAAGGGAGTTCGAGCGACCGAACTGGTCATGATATTGTGGGTACTTTTGCATTTTCAAAAGTAGAATTGAAGAATTTGGTATAGGCCTACACTACATTTTCAGGAAAAAAACTGTACGTTTTCAAAATATCTGGGGACAACTGCCCCCCCCCCCCCTGGTGCGTACGGCCATGGTTTTTTTTTTTTTTTTTAATTTCCCCATTTTTATTCCTTTCCTTTTCTTTTCCCTTTTTCTTCCTTTTCTCTTCTTCTTCCTTTTTTCTTTCCCTTTTTTCCTTTTTTCTCTTTCTTTCCTTTTTTCTTCCCTTTTCCTTTTTTCTTTTTCTTTCCTTTCCTTTCTTTTCTTTTCTTTCCCCTTTTTCTTTTTCCCCCTGGAGCCCGTCAGGGGGGGGGGGGCACTCTGCCCCCCTGCCCCCCCTACCTTATGTAATTCATATCACTTATCACTTATCATATCTCTCTCTATCTCTCGCTCTCACCTATTTGGTTGCACGGACAGCATTGGATAACCCTAGTCATAGCATGCATGACGCTCAAATTCCCATACATAAAGTTGACATCCCACATAATGACATGACGGGGGCTTAAAACATTTGACTCTATGATTCACTGTTAGTATAGGTTTCTAGGCTAAATCGTTGCCTCGTATAGGTTCTTCAAAAGCAGGGTGTGTATAGACCCTTTTCTTTAGTGTGTATAGACTCTTTTTCTTTTGCGACTTGCAATTTTGTATTATTTTTAAATCGTTGGTTTTTATCATAGGGGAATTCATCTTAATCCCCTTTTTTTTTCTTCCATATTTTTTTTTTTTTTTTTTGGGGGGGGGGGGGAGTACTTCAGCCTCGAAAGGCCACCCAGCACCCTGAACTTAAATAAAACGGTCTTAGTCTTATAGGATACATTTTTTATGTCATATTTTGAGAAAATACACTAATTTCAATACGCCTTCAAATCAAAGCCGACATTTTTGCAATGCATGGAGGAGAGTGGAAGCTACCCGGGGGAAGCTAGGGGAATAAAAACAAAAACAAAAACAGGTACCCCACCGTGATCGACGCACATGACGGTATAGAGAACGTATGAGGCTAGTAACTCCATGGCCTAACATTATTTTGAATACTTCGTCCATCTTAATCATGTTTAAATCGACGTGTCAAACAGGGGTATTTATTTTATTTATTTATTTCTAATCTTTTGACAGGGTAGCCCATTCACCAACAAGTAGTGGTCTTCCATGGGGCCCTGAATGAACATATTTATCGTTTATAACATTTATACAGAACAGTTACAAAAATAATACTCGTTTGCAAAATAAACATATATCATTAACCTAGTAAACAGTAATGTCAATAGGAAAATATTATATAATTAAGTCGCAATTATGTGAATAAGTCATGTTAATATTACAGAACATGCACGTAGTGTATGTTCGGCTGAGCCATTCACAAATTACAACTTTGTTTAAACAATCTCTTCAATGAATTGACAGAGGAAGCCGTTCTCAGTGAATTATCTAGCTTATTCCATTCAAATATGGAAGAAACAATTGGGCTACACTTATAACAATCAAAAAGACAGAATTGTAATCGCATTTGATATGATTTGAAGCACACTGATGAGGCATTCGACATTTTATCCATATAATTACTCAAGTTGTGGTTTGGGGTGGGGTGGGGTGGGATTACCCCCATCCATAGAGATATATATATATATATATATATCTCTATGTCTATGCCCCCGTCCTAGTTATCTAGCCACTGAATGACGGTCCGACTTGTTGGAACTTGAGCGCTAGGTAGTCTTAATCAAGTACTGGTATCCTCATCGGAATCAAAGCTATCACACTATATCATGATATCGAGAAACTTTTGGAATGTCTTGGTTTAAGTGGATAATAAAGAATTAAATTTTATATTTTCATTTATATAGAAATAGCACTGTCAACTTAATACGATCACGACACATGAGAATTAGTTTAAAAGAATATGAATACGGCTGAAATATTTCTAACCAAAATAAACCGGGATTTCGATCATATGCGTGGGGATTTTCACTCAACTCGAAAGTACTACGAGTATATAATGACGTTCATGTGATGTGATGAAGTAAGAATGCTGCCGTGCCGTCGTCGAGCTCGTCTAGAATTTGTAGCTGAAAAAAACATGCTCGACAAATTGTCAAACAAATATTGAAAATGCCTGACCAAAATCTTCCGTGAATTTTTGGTAAGTAGGGTAATGGCGCTAATGACAGGAATCGGTAATGTAATGACTTCGCACGTACTGCTGCAGGCTGGTGTGCTTCATTCCGACACACGCAAGCTGAAGTTGGGTGTAAACTGTAATGTAGTGGGAATGAGGAAAACAATGTGTGTGAACTGTGACAGAACGAAGCAAATCTGTGCGAAGTTATCTCGGCTTAATTGCTGAATCTCCTACCGGTATACAGATTACAGATACTGCTGTGAGCTATTTCTTCTTCTTCTTCTATAGATCTAGTTCTATTGCATGATTGTGTATCAGAAGGGGCGCTGCATGATCTGAGAATGAGGATCGTCCACTTAATTAAACAAGGATCGTCTTCGTAAACACGGACGTATGCGTCCGCAAAACTTGGACAACCCCTATTAAAGAGTAGACGGTGAACTGGGGTTATTTTCTTAAGCGGAATCCATTTTTCACATGGCCAGCACACGGTTTAGGAACCCAAAATAGGGAGGCCAATGCCCAAATCTAACTTTTTAATTACTAATTTGTTTATACTAAAACTAAGATTAAAAGAAAGCATTTACTTTCACTAAGAAAATCCACCCATCTGCCGACTCCATAGGTTCCATCAAATAGGAGATATCCAGCTGGTTTGTAGCCATTTCCTTCTACGCCTTTCCGTACGTAAGAGCCTTGAAACAATTATATTTCATGTCGCAAAGTTACGTTCATAATTAGACAGGCCCGAGGGACAAAGTTCATGATGAAGTTTAAAACTTCGCGCGAAAGTGCAATCACTCAACAGCGGCTAGCCTTGAATCGGTCGCACACGTACACACCTTCTTCTTCTTAGTTGATCCCTCCACCGACACAGGCAAGCCCCGATGCAGGCTGAAGTCCAGCCATCAATGTGCGAACGATTACATCTTCTACTACTACGAGCCGAAGACGATGGTTCAAAAATGAAGAATAGAAATATATATAATTCATTGATATTTACCTTAGATGTGTATTCCAATAATTTGATTTTCTCATGAGTATTCCTTATTATCAATGATCGAGAAGTTACGAGGTCCAATTAAAATCCATCTTGCAGCGAACACAATCATAGCGCACATCCATGCATGCAGCGTACGTGTACTAATATTTCTCTCACTCTCTCTCTCTCTCTCCCTTTCGCTATACGTAACATACACACTCACTAACCATGTATCATACAAGTACAACACACACCTTCAAATCATGGCTTTCATTTCAATTCTCAATTGGAGTATAGACTGCTCACGTAGACTTTTTTTTTTACTGAAATATCTTTTTTAACACTTCTCATACATTACTGCACGACACTCGTATCTAGTGCTGTGAGAATAAGGTACTAGGGTCTATAAATAAGACTACGCTTTGGGCACGATCTGACCGGAGCTCAGATTATGTCGCAATACCCTTTATTTTTGGCGCGAACAATGACGTCACTGTTCACTGTTTTCCTTCTCATTTTGAGATGGATGTAGCTATAGGGCTCAAACCAACGCAAGATTGACAGAAACATCGTACTCTATCTACTTTCGAATGTTCAGTTTGTAAAAATCTGTATTTAAAAAGATACAATCTTTTTTCTTTATATTTTCTAGTTGTTAGAAGTGGCAATTGTGAACATCTGAAATGTTGATCTCTATCAAAAGTTCTTTACTCAAAACGGATCCCATATTTTTAGGGTCTACCTTCTGCCAATGAGAAGGTTTTTAGTGAGCAAACCTCTACGCCCTCTAGGATTTTCTTAGTCGGTGGTGCGAGTGCGTCAAGGTCGTCTGCAACCACAATTATTGGATTAAAAAACGTCAAAATCTGCAAGATTGTCAACAAATGGTGAAAGACTGTTACAGATCCGTGATTATAGGTATGTTGTGAAATGTATAATTGTATTTTCTTTTCATATTTTCTTCAATTTTTATTTTTACATCATTTTTTTCCCTTTGCTAATTTTTTGAAGTGGGCGACGAGCGCACAAATCGTAGGTGTAGAAGCCTTACGCCCGGGCATTGGCCTCCCTACCCAAAACCTGCAGAGCGCCGGTGAAAAAAAAATCAGCAAAAATAGGACGATCCTTATTTTAAGGACGCAAGTTGTCTGCATGTACGAGGATATCCTTGTTTATGCAGACAATCCTCATTCTCGGACCAGCGCCCCTACTGCGTACGGTATGGGGAATACAATAATTCTAAAACTGACATTTGTCAATCTTCTCGCCGCATTCGCGGGCTAGGTGATAATTATGAAATATGAAATTGATGATTTATATCACCGAGTTCGCTGAATTTAGCAAATTCCCTGCATGTGCGCCTGTTTGAATTAATTTGAAATAAAAGTATATCTGCAACGCGAAAACTGCTATTTTTTGTGTACACCTTGTTTATTTGCGTTTCCGGCAGTACCAACAGCAACATGTAGAGGTCAGTGTTATTGTTCTGTGTAAATCGTATGTTAGGTCATTATAGTCGGGGACACATGGAAAGTACGCAAATCCCTATTTATATTATACTCTGGTATCAAGTTTTCTTTTTCCGGGAAGCAATAAATAAGTACATTGTATGCCACCTATCTACACATAGTCTCTGTACACAGCTCTGTACGGCACATACATGTGTCGCATACATGTGTTGACTCATAATTTCACTCAAATTGACTAAATTGGATGAGCACTTTTGCTCGCTACACGCTTATTGTGCACATTTATGAAATGTTCTATAAACTTCTTCAAATTACTTTTTGTAATCAACAGTCCTGATAACCAAGTTAACCAACCTGTCTGAACACACAGCATACATTTTTCATTTTGTGGACATATAGTTGAAATTGCAGCCAGTGGCCCAGGTCTAATTGCATTTTCACCAAACTCTTCTCCAACAGGCATGAACTAATGAAAAGAAGCTATCATCAGAATGGAGACGATTCAGAACAACGTAGCCCAGAACCTGATGGCCATGTTCCCCATGCGCCCAGCAGAGCTGATCCTAGAGTGCGTCACGCACCCCAGAAACTGTTATGAGCCAGTGGACGAGGGGACCCTTCTCAATCGCTGCATGGATGACCTCCTCTCGAGGGAAGATGCACCAAACGATGACGCCCAGGTCGACTCGTTCCAGAAGCCTCTCCAGGATGATATCATGGATGATATCGTGGATGACTTCATGATCGATGACATTCCGGATGGCGATCCTGTGGTGTTCGATGACAAAGAGGTCATTTTAAATGCAATACCAAATCTCCAAGACCTTGATGTAGAGCCAGAGCTGCCAGACATGTCAAGGAAAAACGACATACCTGTAGTCATTGATCTCACTGATGACACTGACAGTAAGTTATTGAATTATGCAGTCACACAAAACCACTGTTGTTTGGATCTAAACATTAGACTCCCACATTGTTTAGAGTGTATGGTACCAATATACACTGTAAATGTGACAAAAAATTGACTGTCGCAATCCATTGTTTGTTCCACAAATCGACCAAAGCCTATAAAGAGGTAACAGATAAATTGCTGCTAATGATGCGTTGACATATTTTATTTTCCCTGAAAGGAAATTCCAACCTTGATAATCAGAAGCATACTGGTGAAAGTTTAAATGAAATTGAACAAAAACTATGATAAAATTACATTTTCTTGATTATTGAAAATGAAACACATTTGCCATAATAATAATTAGGGTGCATGTACATGTATGATTTAAAGTATTTTTGAGGGAAAACAAAAATTCAGATTAAAAAATAAAAATTAGTACAGAGCAAAAAGGAATAGAGCGCACAAGATTCGTCATAGAGTTACCAATTTGTGTTTGATTGAACGCAATTTAAAAAATTCATAACTTTTGCAATTTGAATCAGAATTCGCTCATGCATAAACTGACCTGTTCTTCTCATTTTTCTTCTTCTATTAAAACCAACTTAAAATCAAAATGGTCTTCCCCTTTACAATATGTGTAATCACTATATACAATGTATGCTACGGTTTTTAATGCAAAATGATAAGAGTATCAAGTATGTGAGCCATGTATCAGTGTGAAGAGCCTCTCTTATACATTGTAAGCATAGAGTATGTCTGTGTAGTGCTATTTTAGGTCAAGCTTGTCCACCCTTCCAGTGATGTTGTTACCTTGATTTTGCAGATATTACAAGCCTTGATCTTAAGCACTGTTACTTTGTTATTTCCAAGTTATAAGATATCAATAAATTGTGCTTAATTTTCAACTTTCCTTTTTTTGGATGTCAGGTCCCACAACTGAAGGGAAAGAAGATGTGATTACCGGTACTGAGCTCAGCTCAACATATAAAAGTGTATCCAGTACGAGAGCTGAATCTCTTGTTTGTCTATCAAAGACCACTGTAAACAATGACATTGATGAAACCTATGCGGAACTTCCAGACGTCCTTGGGTTTTCAGTTCAACCTTGTACCCCATATCCATTGAAAACGAAATCTCCAAATGAAGCAGTACCAACTGTTGCCGCAGCATCCTTTGATAATCCTGCACCATCAACGACCCTTGGAGAAGCAGCAGCAAGAAAGTCCAGTCCTTCTCTCTGGAATCAAGTAGCCAATGCCGTCCCTTCAGTAAGTGGTAATGTGAACCTGAATGGCATCAAGGTATGTGACCTTGATAGCCCTGGTTTTCAGTCTAAGGCTAATGCACAAGACCGAAATGCTACTCCTTGTAGCACAGGGATGTCTTTCACTTCCAGCCTATCAACAGCACCTTTTAGTGCTCATTCAAGACCTCCTGTGGATACCACTTTTTGTGTAAGAAAATTCCCTGGACAAGAACTTGGCACACTTTGCCAAACTGCTTCCAATTCAAGCATAGGGGTGTGTGCTACATCAACAGTGTCAGCTGGGGGAAAATTCAATTCTCATTCAAGACCAGTTATCATTAATGGACGTGTAGTCCTAAAGCCTGCAGAGGAACAGAAGGTACCCAAACTTCAGATTCGTGAAGGACGGAATGGACACTATTCTGTGGTAGGATCTTCAACTCCAAGGGCCTTGACATTGAGGAAAGAACTGGAAAGGAAGAGAGCAATTCCAGCAACTCTGAGTAGGGCACCTAGTGATGAAATAAAATCCGGCACCCTGGTCCCGCCCCCAGCGAGCGCTTCACGCGGTTTCCCAATTAACAATCCTTACACACCAAAAATTGAAATCAAGGAAGAGGTTGTCTTTCCAAAATGTATGTTCCAAAACACTGATGATAAAGATGGCCCAAACAAAGCCAGTTTCACAAAAATTGCAGGAAGTACTGGTATTCCACTTAAACTTTCAACTCCCAGTGGCACCAAGCTGCATTTCAAAGCAGCCACTTTAAGCAGAGCCCCTAGTGATAATGCTTTGAGACCTGCAACCACAACGCATCAAGTGAGCTCTAGCACAAACTCAAAGTCTACGAAAAACTTGCAGATAAGTAGAACCAGCTCTGGGTCTGCAGTCACGCCCAAACAAGGAGAACGGATTAAACCTGTAATATTGAAGAGTGCCTCAATTCTGGGTAATGGCCTGTCTCAAGGGATGAGGGCAGGAGGTGTGCGGTTAAACCTCCCCCAACCCAGCCTTGCGGCCAAAGTAAGCACTTCCCTAAATAACGGCATACTCCGCGACCCAATACTGGTACTATCAAGCTCTTCAAATGCAGCACAGGGAATGATGAAGCAAAGCAATTCACAACACCTAGCTGGAAGCTCCAAAACTTTCATTCCGATTCTTCCTAAGTGCACATTTAATGGAGATGTTAGACACAACAGTGCCTTTAATGTCGTGAACCAAAGACCAGTGGTATCATGTCCACACACTACAACTCATTCGCAAGTTCAGATTCCAAAAGCAGTTGAAAACCATGGTTTAAATCAGAGCAATACAGGAGGTGTAAAGGAAAGACCACCTATAAGAATTGATGTCGGTGCAGGGAACAATCATGCTAAACTGACACAAGAGCATGTGTTTTATAACCAACAGGTCAAGAGATTTGTTGACTGCATGCACAGGGACCCTGCCCCTCCCCTAAATCCCCTATTGCCTATTGAGCCACTTCCTCCTCTTAACCCTCCTGTGCAAGTTCGACCACTGCCAAACCCAGTACAGGTGTATGACCCAGCTGAACCACTTCCCAAGGTATCAATACCAGGGCTGGACCCAGCTCCAAGACCAGCTATGGTGCCAGAGACGACAGGTGCGACGGCAACTGATGCAGGTGGGATGGAAGCTGCTTCTCTTGAACTTGAAAACATGGTGCAATTGGTGGTAAGTTTTTTGGTTTCACTTACGCATGATATAGTAAATCACATTAAAAGAAAATACCATGGCAAAATACAGGTCCTGCTTGTGAATGATAAGTTGGGATGAAAAAAAAGAGAAGAAAATGCGTGGGCACAACAAAGCCTACCAAGCATAATTTGTGTGTTGTCAAATGCAGAAATGTGAAACCCACTACTCTTTTTATGTCATTTATTTTACCTTGGCGATTTGAGGTGGTTACTGGTTCACATGAACGAGGCTTATTAGTATGACATATGCTGTTGCCCATGTTGGAATATTTTGTTTATAACCTCTCTTCATGAAGTGATTGTGAGAATATGGCTCATTCTAGATAGAGAAGTTTATATCACTTTCATGCTTAAATTATCAATCTTAAAGAGTCATAGAGATTGATTAATAAAGCTTTGAGAAGATCTTAACTATGAAGAATAAATCATCTAAATCACTTCATGGAGAGAGGAAAGAAAAAGTATTCCAAAAGTCAGGATATACATGTACTGCATCGGGTGAACTTTAATTTTCTACATATTAGATCTACCAAGGCAGTGAGAACCAGCACAACCTAATCACACTACCTAACACTTCTTTTTTCCCTTTTTTTTCTAGATGAAGATGTTTCCTACTGCCGATGAAACGGTGGTAAGGGGCATGCTTATCGAGCACAGGAATGTCAATGCAACATGCAACTACCTGCTGGAGAATTTAGATGTTGCCAATGCTAACACACCAGCTGCTAACCCAGTACCACCAGTGATCAAGGTAAAATAATCTCTCACGTTAGCCCTTGGATTTCACCAAAGCTATGCATCAAGTTACACTAAATTCTCTGATAATTTGCCTTTGTAGTACATGACCAACAGACAGTGTATCTCCTGACAATTTTTATGAAAGTTGAAGGAACAATTGTTTGACTTACTGTTTGAAGATTATCTGACCAGATAGCTAACCTGTCTTGGCACACAATCTGTGGATATACCTGTGCAGAAAAGGTTTTTGTAGAAAAATCAAGGTAAATAAGTCTGTGCCCGTCATTTCAAAAAAGTCTGTAGAAAAGGACTGTTTTTTCTGAAGGTTATAGATGTAGGGGTCCAAACTGCTAACCAAGTACCAGCTGTGAACAAAGAAGCTATTATTGATGCAGTTCTGGCTGAAGATGCAGGAAATTGGTACCTGTTGTAGTTGGTGGAACACAAAGTAGAGTATCAATATAGTTTACCAAAAGTTGTTGTTACTTCAAACAAGATAAGCAGGGTGAAATTTAGAACATTTTAGGCACTTCTCTCATAAAGTTGTCACAAATTTTTATTCACCAAGTGTTTATAATTGGACATTTTTGCCATAATTTGGCCTCTCCAGTCGTGTAGTTTGTTGATGAAAAGTATAAGCAAACAACAGCAGCAACAACAACTTCACAGCAGCAGCAATTACAAAAACACATCCTAATATCATAATTGTTTTTCTCTGCAGGAAAAAGAAAAGGAGATAGATTACCTCACGTTAGACTATCGCAAGAGAGGATTCATTCAGAATTACGGTCAGTTCTTCAATCAAGGCTTGAATCTACTCACCAATGATTTCATAAAGGTAAATATTAGTCTTGGAAAGGGTTGTGCACCATATACTCTGGCGACCATTGCCCTATGTCAATTTATTATTGAAATTAACGATTTGGCTTGACCTGCGCATGGAAGTGGAAAAATCAACTTTGCAAGGTTCTCATGGTCATGGAAATACCTGGGGAGTCATGGGAAAATGAACTATTTTGGAAAGCCATGGGAAAAAAAATATCTCCCAAAGTCAGGGAATCTGATTTTCAGATTTCTGTGGGATTCTAGACTGTGCCCTTTGCGTCTCTCCGCTTATCATGACTGATTCAGATGTGCAGGTGGACCGCTAGGGTTTCTCCCTATCCAACTCTCCTACTCCAAGAGGCAAGACCAAGAAGATCCTAGAGGATTCAGTGAAAGACTTCCCCAATAAATTGTTATCACCTCTTTATTTCAGATCAGCAAGACCAGCCTGCGCCTTGTGCTGCAGACCGTGTCCCATGGCTCCTACGCCAAGACCAAGAAGATCCTAGAGGATTCAGTGAAAGGCTTCCTTGATAAATTGTTATCGTCTCTTTATTTCAGATCAGCAAGACCAGCCTGCGTCTTGTGCTGCAGACCGTGTCCCATGGCTCCTACGCCAAGACTAAGAAGATCCTAGAGGATGCTATCCAGGCAGACCCTAATATCCAGCTCATGATGCGTGACGACACCAAGGGATCTTTCTTCCACGTCGAGAAAGGTCAGTTGGCACAACTGGTTTTCATGCTGCCTGATTTTGCAAGTTTGTGTCTCAACGTACCATTCAGCATTTATACATGGTTGTGATAGTACTATAATTGTTCACCAATTTGTCATTTGTCAGATGATAAATCTCCTAGTATTGTGATCTCTGTTAAGTACCGTAAATCTCTGTGTATCAGATGCACCCTATTTTTTTTTTTACCGACACTGAAGGCAGCAAGCCAGATCAGGTCGCGTCTTATTTCAGCGTTTACCGTTGAGAAACCCAAGCCATGCAAGGAAAGAATTTTAATTTATTACAAGGCGCAGTTAAAGAGCTTGTGAACTAGGTCACAAATAATAGTAACAATGTTGTTTTTAAAACTAAATATTACAGAAATTTTTCCTCCGAGTCCAAACAGATATTTGGACAGGCTAGATTTCAAATGGTGAGTCGATATCCCCCGCGTGAGTGAGCTTTCGGCCGGCAAAGTACCTGTGTGAAGGGGCATAATTTATCGAGATTGAAAAAAAAAACAAAAAAAAAACTCTCTTCCCGTGTAAAAAAAAAACTAAAAAAATTGACCTTATAATACATTCACTATTGTTTTTTTTTAAAGAGCAACAGTGTGAGAAAGAATATATCTTGCGTTTAAAGCAAGATGTAGATGTGGCTGAAAGTTAAAATCAATCCTTGATTACCAACCCTGTGGAAAGTTTATTTGCTTTCTGTCCTTGATTTTCAGTGCATGTATTATGTGAAGTTTGCAATCAAGCTTTATTTCATCACAGATACAGCATCTTAGTTATGATTGCAATTGGGTTGGGGTTAGGTTTAGGGTTAAATTTAAGAATTTGATTTATGTTGGAAATTGAGCAATGGTCACCAGATCATGTGTCGTAGAACCTACCGAAGTAAACCGTCCAAAGATTCATCTGATTACTTTGTTCAAATATTTTCTTGGCAGATGGTCGTACGTTTGAGATGCGACTGATGAAGAAAGCTCGTAAACCTATTCCCATCTGCAACCTTGAACCCATGCATCCTGAACTGAAGAAGGAAGTAGTCTTCTACAAGAAACATCTCATCGATGAAACTGCGGTAAGTTCTCTGAGCAATCCTATCCATTCCCCACCCAGTCTTACTTCAAGCCCCTCTGCACTAGTTTGGCCAGAAGGTTTTAGACTTCCCTGGATGGTCACTGACAGGTGGTTATCTCATCAAATCAGCTCTCTATTATCATAAGAAAAAGGGGACCATGGGGGACCAATGGTCACCCATTAGGCATTGTCTGCTATATAGAGGGCGCAAGTAGCTATAAGTAGTGCAGTGGGGCTTTAACGCTCTGGTTGTTCAACTGTCTTTCTGCACGGTCATTCATTCGCGACACATGCAATTTTTCTCAAAACAATAGACAACAATTGATGGAATGATTTTATGTACAACAAAATGGCTTTGCAAAATTTCAGATATCTGGTCTTGAATAAGTCCATGGCAACCCTTTTAACACTGTTATTGCGTAGCCTTGCACTGAAAACGTAAATAATCTTGAAGCCTTTGGTACATCTATCAGAAGATTATTTATGTGGCATGTAAAGAGTTAAGACCATCTCTAACTTAATTTGGAAAATTCAGAGTAATAAATTTTTAATCGTTTCCTAAGAAATAGTCAGAGAGGAAATGTAGAAACGAATATTTAACCAAGGCACTCCCAGAAATTATCTCTTCGTCTTGAACTTATTTCATTGCTTTGGTAAACATTTTTTCTTGGAATTGGTGAAATGGTTAATTTGACCAGCTGTTCATGCAATATTCACAAATTACTCCACAATCTGCACTTCTACTTGTTCTTTTAGTTTCAAAATATTAAGGCATGTGGTCCATTATCCATATACAAATTGATATGTGTTATGTTTTGAAGTTTGGTTGCTCAATTTCAAATTTGTTTGATTGCATTGATTTAATCAACTTTTATTTTCTCTAATGTTTTTTTTTTTCTTTCTTCAGAAATCTGATTTTGAGGTTGCTCTGAGGTTGAATGAAGATCAGTATGAACAGGTGAGCCTGGAATGGGCCATTATTTGAGATAATGTTAAATGGATTCAAGGTATTATTTTTGTCAAGTGATTTAATCATCATCATATTTCAATTCTTGGATGTGAGACATAAATGATGTGTCATTGTGAACATTCTAGAGTCAAAATGAGTGTTTTGTGTAACTTTGTGATGTTAAAATGTCATTATATCTGAATGATAAGTGAAAGAGTCATTGATGAGAAATAGTAAAGATTTAACTGCTTTTAAACGAAAGGAAGATAATCTAGAAGTGAAAATTGAATTGCACAGTCCTTTTATGCCCATGTGGACTTGCTCAGAGAGGAGTGGGATTTCCAGACCTGCCAACCAGTACGATTTAGTCGTATTTATTTAGTATGATTTTTAGAAGCAGACACGACAGTACGATTTAAAAAAAAAAAAAAAAAAAAATTTTTTTTTTTTTAAAAATCATTATTTTGTGTGTGAGTCCACCATTTTCAATAGCAAAATGTCCATTCTGTCCTGTAAAGTATCCTACAAGCATCTCACATCGGCAATTTGGGGAAGTTCATTGGTTCATCGAACACACCAGTCATGACGAAATCATGCATATTCAATCAATGATCAATACAAAAAATTCTTCCTGTAGGTAGAAACTGTAAGAGGCATTGATCCGCGTAACAATCCGTGTTTATTTTCAAGAATATAACTCTTGTCAGTAAAATACAACTTTTGGGACTAAAGAATACAGTTTTTGAACTCCAGAGGTTGACAGGTCTGGATTTCTGAAAGTGGAATTGATCTCGGGAAGAATGAATTACTTCATAGAATATGGGACAGAGAGTTGTGGCATTCCATGGTCGCCAATATCTCAGGACATGGCACGTGAAGAAGAAGAAGGACTTGCTCAAACCTTGACCAAATATATTTTTATAACATTTTTTTTGCAGGAGGGTCAGCTGATCGAGTGCGGTTGCTGCTGTATGGAAGTGACCTTTGAGAACATGATCCAGTGCCTCGAAGGACACCTCTTCTGTCAGACCTGCCTTCAGAGGTACACCAAGGAAGCTGTGTACGGCCAGGGAAAGGCCACTCTGTGCTGTCTGGAGGATGGCTGTGACAGCGTATTCCCAAGAAGTGAGTCCCTATGATATCTTCTGTTAGTCGATAATATTTGAAATAAAAATACTATGAGTCAATTTCAGATTAGAAAAGTCTAATTTCCAAGAAGTGAGTCCTTATGATATATTCTCTTGGACGATAATATTTAAAATAGAAATACTATGAGTCAATTCCAGATTAGAGAAGTCTGATTTTTTTTGGTTAAAGGTCTTGAATGGCCATTCTACTTGTTATTGGCCCTGGTCAAATGACTTGTGTATGTCACATTGGAAAAATGTTGAGTGTGCTTCTTCAGGACCAATTTTAATTCCCTTTGTTTTGATTCTGTACTTCATTAGTTTGCTCATTTCCATAAAATAATTATTCAAAATCACAAAAAAAATAGGTCTCTATATTTATATTTTCTGGTTTTCTTCTCTGTTTATTTTATCGGATAGGGCTTAGTAAGGGTTAAAAAAAAACATCCCTGAGCAGCATTTCATGAAACCGTCATAAGTACAAGTTCACTGACATCCCATTGAGAGGCGAGTTAAAATTACTGCAATTTGTTGGTTATGCTGCTGTATGCAAATTTGTTCAATATTGTCTAGATGCTTCATGGTCATCCCAGTGACCTAGACTTCAGGCGGCAATGTTTATTATGCACTTAATAATTTACTCATTCACCCGTTTTGGGTCCCCCCCCCCCTTTTATAAATGGTAGGTCAACTAGAGAAGACACTGACTAAAGAGATTCTTGTGAAGTATGATGAGAGGGTTGTAGAGGAGTCCATCAACATGGCTGATATGGACAACCTGCTACGCTGTCCTGAATGTAACTATGCTGCTGTCCTAGACAAGGATCAAAAAGTCTTCAATTGCCCCGAATGCCACAAGGTCAGTGAAAAGAATAGGCATGTATTCTTCAGGCCTGATTTATTACCCAATTTAAATTGGTTTTCCGATTTGTTCTCTATTTTTTTCCCAAAACTTTTTTTTCTCCTGATTTTTCCTATTTTTTACTATTTTCCCAATTTTTCTCTCCAATTTTCTTACTCAAAAGGGGCAGAATGTTGTTAGATGCCATTTTTTTTCCCGGAATCTTTTAAAAAAATATTTTTTACTCCCCCCGATTCTTTGAATGCATTTACCATACTTGAGGCATGGCATAGGCATTTTATTGTAATTTGTTTCTCTGTACCCAGGTGAATAAAATAGGCATCATTTGTGAAAAGTGTTCTTTGAATGCCACAACGTCAGTGCAGATTCACATAGAGGATTTACCATACTTGACGCATGGCATAGGCATTTTATTGTTAGTTGTTACTCTGTACCCAGGTGAATTAAATAGGCATCATTTGTGAAAAAAAAGTATTCTTTGAATGCCACAAGGTCAGTGCAGATGTATCATACATGACGCATGGTATAGGCATTTTATTGTTGTTTGATCCTCTACCCAGGTGAAGTTAATAAGGATTTTAAAAAAAATGAATGCTAGAATGTCAGTGCAGATCTATCCACTTCAGTATATTTATTTGTTCTGTTTTATTTTTGCATTTAGGAAACTTGCCGCAACTGCAAGGAACCTTGGAAGGATCATTATGGTCTGGAATGTGACCAGGTTAAGAAACAGTCTACAATGAGACTCTCATAGTAAGTTCCTATATACCAAATGCTGATTTTTATGTCATATGTAATCGTCCATGACCTAGCATCGTTACTTCATCCATGAATGAACCTGTATTCAAGCAGCAGATGTATTAGTTTTATTGTATTAAAAGAAAACCAACGCTCCTTCTCTCCCCTTTCCTTTTCTTCTCTGCAAGTCACTCTTCTGACTTTTTTGTTTTTATTGTTGTATCTAAGTTAAGGGCTACTGGCACGTGAAGCTACTTTACTTGTGATATAGCCCTCCTGCATCTGATGTATATGCATTCAATATATTTTTTAAATTTTGTATATTTTCTGTATATATATATATATATACATATGAAATATTGTATATTGAAATATTGAAATATTGTATCAAGCCATGAAAATGTATGGAAAAAAAATGCATAAACCAAAAAATCAAATCAAATCAAATATGTGAGATGTTGGTAGGACTGAAATATAAACAGGTCAATAATTGTCGACAATGTGATTCTCATTAGCTATTTTCTCTCTCTCTCTCTCTCTATCTTGCATCATGTTTTCCTCCGTCTTTTCTTTTGTTGTCTCCTCTTCTACAACTATGCACAACAGTCAAGAGAGAATGACCGTGGCCAAAGTGCGGACGTGCTACAAATGTGCGACAAAGTTCACCAAGTCCGAAGGCTGCAATAAGGTAAGATACCTCCAGCTCAGCAGTCATGCCTGGGATCTAAACCCTAAAAAAGTTGCCCTAGATAGTTTTGCCCGTCTTTCAAGTTTACAGTGACACCAAATCTACAAACATGTATCACCACTGAGATTTTAGTTTAAGACAAGATTTCGTTCCGAGTCTCTGACGGCAAAGATCATGGGAAGAGGAGCTCAGGAAGAAGAAGAATACCGTACTTGTGATTGATTGTGTGAAGAAACTGCTTTAAAAGAGGGGAGTAGAGGGGTCATGGGTTGCAGCATATAAAGAAGGCTAGAGATACGAGAGATGCCAACCATTTTTTAATTTTTTTAATTTTTTAATTTTTAATTTTTTTATATCCATAAAAACAACAGAATCGCATAGAAACGTGTACCAGTAAACCCCTGCAACCCCAACAAAAACTTTGCTTTACAATTTTCTTTTTAAATTTTAATGAAAGAGCAAACATTTTACTCGACCGTACGTACCAGTATTGCATTTTTCTAAAATTTTACTGGCCCGTAGCCAACCGGCCATTGGTAGTGTCGAGTTTTCATGAAAATCTGATTTTTCTCTCCAAAATCTGATTTTTTTTTAGGATACTCGGGTCTATTTTTTTGTGTCAAGAGGTTGGCATCTCTGGAGCTGTGGAACTACATAACATGATTGCTAAGTGAGAGAGAGAGAGAGAGAGAGAGAGAGAAAGAAAAAGAAAGAGGGGAAAAGGGGGTTGGGGGTGGGTGGGGGGGGGGGCAGAGGCGGAGGAGAGAAAGAGTTCATTCATCTATCCACAAATTCATTTGTTACAATATATCTTCATCCAAAACAGTTTGTCATAGTAATGAACACCGGCTCTTATGTATTTTAACACTAGTATCCTCGAAAAGTGAATTTCTAATAACCATGAAAGAATTTTTTTGTTCTTTCTATCTAGATGACTTGTCGATGTGGAGCCAAGATGTGCTACATCTGTCGTCAACCGATCAAAGACTACACTCATTTTGACAACAGGGCCGCTACCCCTGGTCAAGTATGGATGCCAAAACTAGGAGAGAAGTGCAGACTCTGGACCAACTCTAATGTGAGGATTGGCTCTGTCTTTCAAATTTAAAATACTATTTTGTGTTATACGTGTGACAGCTGACCAAAATATCATGTCACATATGCGTGAAGTCCCATTTCTGTGTGCAGTGCATGTGGTTTTCCGGCAAGACTGAGTTCATTCCTTTTTATTTGGATCATTCTAAACTTCACAGTATACATCAATTCTCAAGTACTACAGAATATTTTTCAATAACTTCCAGACAGTTTCTTTCACAATGTAATTGCATGACCAGTAACCCATTTCACAAAGCCTTTTTTCGATGACAAAAGACAAAATCAGTGACAAATCTGCTGTTAACCAATCAGAAGCAAGGATTTCACTAGCTTATAACACAAACTGTCATTTGTCGCTGATGAAAAGCCTTGTGAAAAGCCACCCTGTACTCAAATTCATCTCTAATCCTGTCTTTGCATACCAGGAGGATGATGATAGAGCAGTCAAGGAGATTGAGAATGAGATGAAAGCCGAGGAGAAAGCCATCAGGGATAGAACAGCAGCTGGTAAGGATTGTCATTAGTTTAAAGGCACAACATTTTTAAAAACTGTACATGTACCATTATCATGAAACTCGTATCTGCCATAAAACCTTAGTCACACACCAACAAGACCAACAACAGACAGAATGACAATAAACTGAAAGCCATGTTACATTACCCAAACAGCAAAAATTCTGTCAATTTTGAGTTGGTTTGGTGGTGTTGACTGGATTAAGGGCCACCAGTATGCGATTCAGTAAATTATGTTTTCAGTCGTAATCTGCTACCATATTTCAGATATTTCAGAAAGCACTTATGATATCATCATTAGTGGCTGTATATAATGCAAACAATATTTGTTCCTACTATACTTCATGTTTTCATTTTACAAGATGTGATATAATAAGTTCAATTTTACTTTTAATTCTTATTAAAAGGCACGTACCTTGCCTTATGCGCCTTATTGAACTGCTGAAAGTAGGACATAACTTTGTATAAGCATACTTGAAAATGAATGCTTATTTTGCTTCTTAGTATGTTAAAACGGGGGAAGGCTAACCTCATAAAAACATTTTTTTTCTCAAAATATGTGTTATTTTAATTTGTAGAACTATCAATTGTTACAGCTTGAATTTTACAGCTTAAGGAATGCAAGTCACAAAGTCCTTGTGTTTGAGCCTAGAAAGTTGCATATACATTTGACATGTCTATACGGGCCTTGCTGTACCAACCTTTACTGCCATGCAGCTCCATTTCACAAAATAATATACTGTCGTTTCTTCCTAGTAAGAATGATCCATTTATTCACACTTCCTTTTTGTTGTACGTTTGGAAGCGCTTAGTGATTCTAATAAGCGCTATATAAAAACTGAGTATTATAATTATTATTACAGACCTGAAGAGACCGAACATAGCTGGTATTGACGAGGGAGGCGGCAGTGATGCCAAGAGACCAAGAACAGGTTGACTACACACACATCCAGGCAAGACGAAAAGGATAGGAGTTTGGGTGATTCTAGTGTTCTACCTCTCGTCAGGAATGACCTTGTACAAGAAACTGTCAGTGCTAGCTAGAGAGGTTTCATGGATGTCATGTGGATTTTCTATGTTGAATGCAAACTAAAATTAATGTTCAGGTCCATTCAGAGATACAGCAGTATGCGGCTCCAAACTCAGAACAGTCTATCATGTAGAGGTGTCGTCGTAGCCGAGTGGTTTTAACACTTGACTGGAAATGCGAGGGACGTGGGTTCATGCCCCGGAGGGGCAATAGTGTCCTTTGGCAAGACATCTGTATTGGCCACTCTCCACTCAGATGTCAAATGTGTAACCGGTAGGGTGCAAACGTTAATGTGGTTGGATTGGCATGTGTGCGCTTGTACAATGGCGCCTGGCCGGAATACGCCATAGGGAGCGGAATGTGTGCACTATCATGTGCGGATTGGCGATTTAATGCAATGACTGTGGTAATAATAAGTACAATGTAAAGTGCTTAGTAATATTGTACTAAGTGTTATACAAGTGTAGCTGTTATGTGTTAAGGGGGCTTAAAGATAAAGGTGGATTCTGGTTATATGATTGCATTTTGAAAGAAAAGGTGTGGAATGGATGAGAAAAAGTTGATCATATAGCATGTAAGTATTGGTATGAACTGCAAGGCTATGGAGTCATCAAAATCATCATAAATTTGGCCCAGTCTGGGTAAAGTAACAATCACTGTACACACAGAGATGTATATGGGACAACACAAATGGTGTCGGGGCTAGTACCACCTTGATTTCCTTATCTTTCTTTGCTCATTACTCAGCCAGTATACATTTTCTTCCAAAATTGTTTGACACATGACATTTATTTGTAATCTTGAACATTCAGTGTAAGTATCGTTAGATTCTGTGAGAATTCATTTTCTTTTTTTTAACCAGAACTCAAGTTTATCTTTAACCCATTGACTATAGGAACTGGTGGTTCCTGTGTTAAAGGAAATCAAAACCTTCATACTAAGTTACTTTTATTGTAAAGTTTAAAAGATTTGAATAAAATCAGTGAAAATTTGAACAAAATCGGGCAAGGAATAAGGAAGTAAGAGCTTTTTGAAATGACTAGTCACTAGAGGGCGGTATTCAATTTGATGACATCATCTGTGAACAACTCTCCATGCCTTTTGTACATAAAATTTCACAATTTTTTTGTTTTCTTCGTATTTATTTGTGTTCTTGATCCGACTTCATAACATGTGAAGTAGAATATCATTTTGCATTCTATATCTTGCTTTCGGGGGAGTACATTATCTCAATCACAAGAAAGAAGGAAAAACATGAAATTTGATGTACAAAAGGCATGGAGAGTTGTCCACAGATGATGTCATCAAATTGAATACCGCCGCCTAGTCATTTCAAAAAGCTCTTACTTCCTTATTCCTTGCCCGATTTTGTTCAAATTGTCACTGATATTTTTCAAATATCTTAAACTTTACAATAAAAGTAACTTAGTATGAAGGTTTTGGTTTCCTTTAAGTCTATGGGAATGAGAGAATTGAGTAGTCGATGGGTTTCGATGAGGCCACAGTCTGGGAAAGTTGGAAGATAGAAATTACTATGTTATCTAGGAGAAGATTACATGAGTTATGGAGTTATACTGTGTGTAGAGAAATTGTTTTTAATTGTATTTAACTTGATGTGTGTTTATGCAATCATACTTTAAGTGCCTTCACAATCTAAGAAAAGAAACAACTCACCAACTATTTTCATAATTTTCATCTTTGTGTAAAGATTTGTGCATGGATAGGTAATGTAAGTCATTTTGTAATTTTTCTCATGTTCATTTATTGTCTCATTTTGCCGTCCATACACTCCCTCATTTCTATTTCCTAAATTCTTCATCTTATTCAATCACTGCCTCTTTTGTCCTTTTCTCCATTCTTATTCAGGACCTAGATTCCTCCCTCCTTATTCACCTGTCAATAATTATATAATATTGGCTTCCCTTGAGTGGTATATCAGATATATAATAATAATAATAATAATAATAATAGTCTAATAGTCCACTCCAAATTTTATTAAACCGAAACGGAAATTCTTTTTGCCCAATTGATCGTGAGCCCGGCAGCCACTGAGCAGCGCCAGATCGACGTTGCTCTATCCCTTAATGTTGAACGCCAAACAAGGTAGCAACAACTCCCATCTTTTAACGTCTTTCGGTATGACGCGGCCGGGGTTCGAACCCACGACCTCCCGGTTGTGAGGCGGACGCTCTACTGACTGAGCCAACACTCCGGTATACTGAGCCAACACTCCGGTATTGCATTCAACTCGCGAATATTGCACGAGTCGAAGACGAGTGCAGTATTCATGCCAGCAGAATGCAATATCTGATATACCAGTAAAGAAAGCCAATATTATTATTATCATTTTACATACAAAAATTGAACTACAGTAAGATTTAAAGGATTAAAAAAAAAAACAGTTTACTTGGCGAATCAAATCCCAACAGTGTCTTGGCTAGCAAAATTTGGCAAGTTGAAATGAAAGATGATCTAAGTTTTGAATATAAATTTGTGTTAAAAGTTTAACCACAAAACTAGCAATGTACAGTGTACAGTGTAGTTTACATTACATACAGGTCTTTTGTTCAAAATTAGTTTTGATGGTATGCGCATGCAGCTCTTGCTCAAAACTCTTGCTCATGGGTGCGTACGTAATGGAATATCACGCTCAGTGTGCAATATTGTAATGATGTTGCATGCCTATTCTCAATCCGATGTATTGTATGTAGGAAAGGCAGTATGCTAACATTATGAACTTGATCAAAGAATCAAATGCATGATTTCTATTCTCTGGGAAAAATGGCTCATATGTATTATGATCTATATTCTTTCCATTGGTTCTCCTTCTCTCTCAGGCTATTCTGTATTTTTGACTTCTGTTATGTGATGCTTGAGGTGTTTAAAATGTTAATTTTCTGTAATCTGCAGAGAGCATTCTGTAGTACTGGAAATTAAACCAGAGCACTACAGGACTTCAACTAGTATACCATTCTTTCTTCTGGCTTTCATTCAGCTACTGACTTGGAGTTCAATTTGATAATTATTTTTCTTGTTTGCCCAATGTTTGTCTGATGTTGGTCTCTGATTGACTGTGAGGTGATTCTCATCTATGATTTAGAAGTTTTCATTAGTAATACCAAGTGACAACTTTCATTGAGATATAATATGCATGGATATATAGGGCAGTCGGCTGATCAGGGAAGTGAACAATTCTTTTGTACTGCTGATTCAGGGTGCAAGTAATTCTGGTAGTAAGAAACTCCATATCTTGTTATTTCAGTGTAATGAAATTTGTAGCCACTTTTCTTGACATAATTGTTGGAATTGGTATAACATGTGCATTACATCTTTGTATAAGAATCACATTGGTTTGGGAGCATATTGATATGCTATGTATGTATAAAAATGGGATGACTAAGCTATAGAGCACCTACATATTTGGAAATCAGGAACAGTTATTGAGTGATTCAAACAAAATACTTAAACTTTTAAAGCAAATAGTTGGCCCATGTTAGGAGATTGGACTCCTTGTCCTGTGTAATATATCTTTGGAATATTTGAAAAATGTAAGGCCTCATGAAATCACTTTATTTACAGTGAATTTTGTTATGAAAGGTACACAAAACATTTTGTTCTTTATTTTCATTGATAACAATAAATATTCTGTTGGCCTAATTACTTGCCTTGTAAACACATCTGATAGAAGATGTCCTCAAACTACTTTTTCTTTCTTTTAGAGAATGAAAAATTAGCATTGCTTATGAAATCATAGTCACGCTTGTGATTTTATGTTATTGTTTTGTTGTAAATAACATAGTAGCGGTACTAAAAAATAATTCTCTTGTTTTTGTATTGTCTTCCTCTGACTGGAAGAAAGGAAGTGGTTATCATTCCCTATTTTTTTTTTTCAACCTCTAATTTTGATGCTGATTTAACATTTATGGTATGCATGATGCCAATGGTAATACAGTCAAACCTGTCTATAACAACCTACAAGGGAAACACAAAAAGTGTTTTTTTGTAGACAGGTTCCTTTAGTATATGTTTCAACAAGAAACTATTTTCAAAAATTCAAGGGAAACAAAATGTGGTCTTTGTAGACAGGTGGTCACTAAAGCAGGTTTGACTATAGTATTGTGGCGTAACCGGGCTCTGCCGGGGTAGCGTTCTGCCTTGCAGTCTCTCAAAACCCGGTCCACGCTCTCGACAATCATTCAACTCTCAGTGGGCTCTCACAAAAGTATATCGTGTAAGAAATAACGTGGACAGCTCTCATTTTACTCACTCCCGCAATCACTGAATGTCTGACAGTAACTCAAGAAACAAAACTTGCACAGTATATCTGCAGTTCAAGTAACTTTACTCGTTCCTGGTAACGGGTCGACCTGTCGCAACGACAGGTCAACACCAAACTGACTGACATCTCACGATGTGCACATATATATTTCACAATTAACTATAACGCCCTCTACGTCTTACTAAACTACTGGACTATAGTTATGCTACAGTATTTTGTCAAACATCAGATTCGGAGGGGAGGGGTTGAAGTCAACAGATGTCAGATTGTCAATTGTAATGGTGTCAGTTGGTGTATTCGGCTGGGAGGTGTTATTGCTGATGGTCAGTAAAGGCAAGTTCACATATGAGGTAAACTGCTGCAAAAAAGCCACCACGTTTTTATAGATGTGTAAAATATTGGCAATTTAGCACAGCAAAGGTCCTGCGTGTATTCACTGAGCTCTGTGTAATAAGATACAGAAATTTGAAGCGAATTATGTCATCATAAATATACCCCTGCAGTTTTGCCATATCAAATCTATCAATGTTCAACTTGTCCAACTTGATATTAGCAAAAGGAACATTAGAATTGCAAAATATGGACAGACCCAAAAGAGGGTAGTTAAATAAGTAAGTCCAATATCTTCTAGTAGTAAAATCATTTGCAGCATATGTTGAAAAAAAGGAGATCCATACTCTTGAATTGTAGACTGCCAGTCAATTTATGCCCACTGATGTTTGTCAATTAATTGTCGGCATGTTTGATTTGAGTCATCTGCATTTTCAGAAGTAACTTTGTCAGATAATGGTTCATAACATCATACAGAATTGTTAAAAATTGAACAAGAAAGTGATGAGTGATATTTTGATAGCACCTTTTATTTCTGCATTAAAAATAGGCAATGATTTTTAGACTGTTCTAAAAGGGTCTGCTCTTTGTTGTAGAAACATGATATTAGATGCATTTTATCTCTGTTAAGAATACTTTCATCAATCTGACAATGTCGGTAGTTAAAACATATGGCCTATTAGAGCTTTTGTCCATTACAACAATTGTAAGCCAGCTTTGTGAGCTGATGGCGAAATCTTCAAAAATGCAAAGAAATATGTTTATATGTGTATGTACTTCTCTTCTTTCATTTTCATTCTTGATGACGATGTGTATTGTCTACTTCTCATGAATTTGTTATAGAAAAAAGAGAAAATTTACATTGATTAAAAGTGCCATATATTGATCTAAGTAGAAGAGTAATTGTCCTTTTGTATTTTTTGCTCTTCTTTATACTGGGATGTTGTCTTCAGAGTTTAAACCTAAGTACATTTTGTGTAAAGCCCCAAAGCGAATTAATAAGATTTCTTTGATGATGAACCCTTAGTTATTCAAATTCAATGTTTCTTTGTACCAGTGGGTAGAATTCAATGTTTCTGAACAGTTTTGTACCAGTGGGTAGAGCAAAATAATGAGATATAAAAGATGTCATTTGATCATGTCCCTCCATTTGTAAGAAAAGATACTGGTAAATAAAATCCGTTTGAAGTATTACCAAATGGGGGCATTGATAATACGTAATGGGTAAAATACATATAAATTGAAAAATTACTTGTAGATACCCCCACTTATCCTGGCTCACTCATGTAAACTAGTAAACTGTGCCCCCCCCCCTCCCCTGCTGTTCCCCCTCATGGGCCCTTGCATACTTTCGCTAGGCCACCAACTCTAAGGGGAAGTTGGTGGGGGAGGGGGGCAGTTGTCTTATATTGGGGATCCGAGACAGAAGCGGTTCTAGAGGGGTTTAAGGGGAGAGAAGCAGAAGTAGAAAATGAATGCAAGAACCGGGGGCCAGCCCAAACAGGCATCCTCCTACTCCTTTTATTTTCTAGAACTGCTCCTGATAAGAGGGGTAAGTTTTCCCTTAATTGCCCCCAAATCGCATACCCTTCCCCTAGCTTATTAACACTTTTACACATACAAATCGTAACTAACGTCAGAATGTCAGCATGTTTTACTATTACATTCTTAATTTTAGTTGGGCTGTATTTGGACCCGGGATCTTTTCGACGATATAGCAAAAAAAACAACATTATAATGCCTCTATCTCAAGCTGGCGCTATACAACTTTTTTTTTCTTCCGATCTTGATCTTATGCACACGGTACGATAGTTTTCCAAGGAAAAAAATGGTACCATCGCTCGAGGATGACTGCTGGAATTCTTGGTAAAACTGCTTAATTATAAATTTGATAAGCGTTTTTTAAATAACATTTTGAAAGAGAATATATCAATGTAATGTTTTGCCTTTGGAGGCATTTTAAATTACTGATTGTAGTGAGAATGCATGAGTTTGGGAGTGTTATCCAGTCCAATGTTCAAAGCAGATTGATCCGTGGACACTGAGTGGTAAACCAATGCAAGTTTTGTGTGTGGTCCCACCCGCATAAATCTATGAATGTAAAGCGTAATTATAAGAGGGGAGCCCTATGCAATGTATACGTACCTTACATTTGACTTACAAAATGGTCAAGGATTTTCTTTTATACTCCTTTAATATTTAGTCTGATACTATTTATTACATTGTTAAGAGTAACTGTACCAAATATCTAATAATTTGAGCAAGAAAAAATGTTATTTACACGGAAGAGACGGCCTTCATGTCCGTGGCCTTTTTAGTTTACATTGCAAAATCAATCAAAGGTTCCCATGTCTGTGCGATCATACATTTCGCATGCACTTTGCAATTTTTGATGTGAAAGATAGCATTTTGAGGCTTGAAAACACAATTACTAAAGAAAAGACTAGGTCTATTCCCAATTCCTTGTTGCATAAATACGTATCGATAAGAAACGGACAGAATTGTGTGTTCCTTGCCTGTCTTGCTTTACCATAATTGTGCAGTCACAAGTTTGTGCTGACAAGTGCACTACGCAGACATAGGCAATCTGGCTTAAATGGTTGACTTGAAGGCTTTGTGGAATTTTAATGCAGAGGAATATACTACAAGTACAAATGAATTACCATTACTAAATTTTACAAGCCTCTCCTTTCTCAAAATGGTCCCTAAAACCAAAGATTCTTGAAAGTCAACTAAAAGTTCAATGTAAAGTCATGAAGACATTTTCATAAGGTTGAGACACCACTTCCATGTAATTTCTATCAATCTTTCTTTTTTAATAAGAATATTGCTCATCTTGATTTAAGTTGGGCAGTGCATTGTGTGCATTAGATTGAAACTTTCACAATTCTCATTCAATACAGATGTTCATGAGTTCATCTCCGAGCAAAATGCAGCAAAGATGTCTACTTCCAGGCACTGTGCAGCTGATCATCGTGAATCATAGATCATGAGCTCACCGGAGGAAAGCACTAATGTCATCCCCATGGCAACGACAGCGAGTGAGACCACTTCAACAGGGCCAAAGGATCGGAGCGACAGCCACAGCAGTTGCGACAGCAGTTGTGATGTCACTACTGGCTATGGAAGTGGTAGCAACAGTAGAAAGAACTCTCTAACTGACAGGAACGTAGTTAGCACAAGAGACAATGGTGAAGGGGGGAAGAGTAGTTCAGAAAAGAAACATAGTGAGGAAGCGTATATAGAGGGCGACATCAAGCTGAGATTCCTGTGTCCGGAGGATGTAGAGGCGGTCAAGCAGCTTTGCAGGGACTGGTTCCCGGTCGAGTAAGTATACTAATTTGATTTATGGAAGTTATTTGGGCACAACTGTTGGTGTATACAAGTACAAATAGAATCTTGAAATATTTTGTGTATGGCTTAGAGTCTACTCTGCTTATCATCAGTTTATTTGAGAGATTTTCTAAAACATAATAAGAGGAATGTAATAAACCAATTTAATTGAATAATTTTATTGAAATTTTGGATATTTGTGAATTTTCACCAGTTACTTGTTAACCCATGATAGTGTTGACCCTTGGTTATCATTCAAGCATCACCAATGCATTTTGTGATTACCTTACATTTTCCAGCTTATAAATTACTTACTGGAAATATCCTTTGTCAGTAAAAGCCTCAGAAAGTGATCTTGTAAAGTGTGAGAGAATTAGAGAAACAAAGATTCAATCCAATTTTCTACTCTCTTTATTCTTAAAACAGGTATCCTGATTTCTGGTACAAGGATATCACAAATGATAAGCGGTTCTTTTCCCTGGCTGCTGCCATAGGCACTACCATCGTGGGTTTGTTGGTGGCTGAGGTCAAGACTAGGGCCAGATGTCACAGAGAGGTCAGTACATTTTAGATTTTGTTGTTGTTGAAGGTGGTGGTGTAGATGGTGCTATCTTTGGTGTTGCTTTGTACAATGATGTTTTAGTGTACATTAAATTGGTTTTCTTGTGGTATGAACAATGACCCCAACCTCTGCAAACACAACAATTATGAGGGGGGGGGGGGGGGGGAACAATCCATCCCCCTTATTGTGCTCACTATGTTTTGGGATCCATGGCTGTAAATCATGGAAATTCCAAAATCTTAATAAAGGTTTAGGTGTACCAATCACCTTGAAAATAAAATGCACGACTAGGATGTATACAATGAACCTTAACAATAATATCACCCTGATTTGTATGGGCTGAAGGATAAGGAGTTTGAAGAAAATAAAGGATAATCTAAAACGGCGTGCACAGATTCCAGAGCTTGCATTAATAAGTACGTTGAGTAGTCTATTACTCACAAGTCTCTGTTCTGTTATTCAAAAGTGGATTAATAAACTAGAAACAAATCTCTTTACAAAATTAATCTTTGAAGCTCATATTTTGAATACGGTATAGTATTACGTCATGAAACTCCTAACATAAAAACAAAATATTTGTTGGTGCATGGTGCACTTTAAATTTTAAAGCCACTTGCGCGTGATGACAAATCTTGAGCTCTAATGATGACAGACAAAATATGTATCACCATAAATGTCAAAATTTCAATTGTATCTGTACGGTGTATACAGTACATAAATATTGAACATTTTTACAATGTCATATCCTGGATGGTTCTTGTTACTTGTTCCCATGCGTGACCAAAAAAGAAAAGAAAAAAGAAATATACTGTAATCCATTCGATTCATTTCTTTATGAAACATGTTATGATAAAGGTCATTCATATATTATGTCAATCTATAAATCAGTTCTTTTCTTTATGAGTCAAAAGAATTGTATGCCCTTGATTTAAATGTGTTTAGTACCAGCATATGTTGAAAATGTTTAGATGAATTTTTAGAAAAACAAAATATCCTTCTGAGAGCGAACATACTGGCAACATATCTTTTTATCTTCTTTGTCTACTGAGTCTTTGTTGACAACAATAAGGTTGATGATAAACAGATGTACATGTATACAGTTTCTGCATGACTCTTAACATGTACATGTAGGCCGATATAATATGACGATGTATACAGTGGTGTTTGAAAATTAAGTGAATCAGAAGAGGTAATCTTAAAATATTCTATCTCACATAACGTATTGTAATGCTGGTATAAGGGTCTGCTATGAGTGATTTGTTTGGAGTACCGTACCAGTATAGCAAGTTGTACAAAACACTGTACTTGTGACTAGAAAGGTCAATAGACCATTTATGTAATGTACCGTAAATCTCTGTGTATAAGACACACTTTTTTGCCGCTTAATAAAAATCAAAGTCGGGGTGCGTCTTATACACAGGTACATCAACAAAAAACAAGAACAAAAAACCTTTTTTTTTAAAGTTTTGATTTATGCCCCTCCACCTGGCGCTATGCCTGGCAATGTCTCCCAGCTTAGTAATCGGTGTGTTGACTCACCACTCTGAAAATAGAATTTGAAAGTAATCTTTCTGATAGATCTCAATATGTAGTTTATAATAATAATTCCTCCAATTTTTCTTCTATACACACGGCATACCACAAGGTTCTATCCTAGGTCCTCTACTGTTTTTTAATTTACATTAATGATCTTACACATTCAACTGCACCTGGCCCTGTTATGAATAATTGTATTTCAATAGTCAGAATGTAAATTACATACCTGTATATTAGTTGTTGCTAGGTAGGACAAATATTATGGCTTGCTCTACATGTACCTAACAACATGTAATGTATTCAATTCGCATTCTGACTATTGAAATACAATCATTCAAAACAGGTAAATTTGATAATTTGTAACAAGGCACTCAACAGAGATATACACTGTATGCATTGAATTTGATTAAAGTAAGAAAAGGCCTATTGTGGCATTGTTCCATTAGTCTGTAAAGAGTTTTAAGAAACATTGTACTTTTTTCTTTAAATTGTTCAAGGGCAAGTCCAGGGTATTTATCCACTTTGTGTCTCATATATTGTCAGTGGATGGTTTAAGCCATGCATGTACCGTACTGTAGGTCAACATTGAAAACATACAGTAATTGTTCTGATCCAGGCTCTTAAAGCGCTATCAACTTCAACTTTAATGAATGTGATAAAAATTGGCTATGTGGTAAGGAATTGGACAATATACATGTATGCCACTAAAATGAATACTATACATGCATGTAAATATCCCCCTCAAAAAAGAAGGCCTACACACATGTACATTTACAATGTACAGTATGTAATTGTGCAAAAGTCAGTGAGACTCAAGACTACAATTGAAAGATGTAATTATAATATCAGTAGAAACAAGACCCGTCAGATAAATGGCATCTTCAATTGGCAGTTAATTTTATACAGCAACAAATTTACAGATTAGGCACACATAATAATACCCTTAAGTACATACAGTGTATTGTTTATGAAGTTGGTGACAGTAAGAGGTAGTTATCTGTAGTTTCATTGCAGATTGTTATGGAATCAATCTGTCATTTTCATGTATAAGCAGCTTAGACAAGCTCTTTACTTCCAGTTCATAAGTGTAGAAAGCACGAATATCGTACCTTTTCGTTCCAAGGATCTCTTCTCGAATTACATGTTTGTTTTGTTTGTTTTAAATTATATTAATATATTTTTTAAATATTTTTTTAAAGAGATTTCTTGGAGTAAATTTTGATTCTGTATTTTTCAACTTTATCCCAGAACACTTTTGAAAACTTTTTTTCCCTCAGGCTGAATAACTCACAGCTTTTTTGTCAGTTTGATTTGCTTTTTGTAAGTTTGATTCGCTTTTTGTAATTTTGGCTTTTTCTAATCAGATACTTGTAGCTACATGTATACATGTACATGCAGTATGTTTAAAGAGTAAATGATACACAATACATTTAGCTACATGTACATGTACATGTAACTAAATGTAAGTGTCATTCATATCTTGCTGAAGCACTTAAAGCTATGGTCACAAATCTGAGCAGCGACCGACCGATCAGTAGCCTGCTCGGTCGCTGCTGGAATTTAGGCATCGCCCAGCAATTAGGTCGGTGCCGGGCGGCGACCGCCCAGGCACCAAGCGTATTTTGGGCGGCGAGTGAAAAGTGAGCAGGCGCCGCCCAAATTTTAACTCCGCGCTAAAACTTCAGCGGCAACCGAGCGATGCCATAAAAACGAGCGGTGCCTGGGCGGCCGCCGCTTGGTGGCCGGGCAGCTGCCGGGCAGAATTGGTTAAAAACTCGCCGCTCGGCCGCCGAGCAGGCTACTTTTGGGTAATGTGACCATAGCATTAAATTCAAAACTAATACATGCATTTTCTTTGTACCCAATTTTTCCTAGTACAGTGCACAGTTAAATATAAAACCACAGTGATGATTAAAATAGGGTCTTCAAGTCTTCCCATTTAATCCATAACATTTAGTAATGTAGCTCTAAAGCTGTTAATCCAGTAACTTACATCTCTGTAGTCCTGTGCAAATTTGTGCGTATTTGATTTGGAGCATCGTCAAGGACATTTGTAAATGTTTACACATACATGTACATGTATACAGGTACACATACACCAGACACAATTTAACAGTATCCCCCAATGTTTGAAATGGGTCGCTTGGAGGAAGTTTTCTTTTCCTCTGTTAATTTTTATGGGTGGGGGCAAGGGGCGGTCAATAAACCGTATTTAATATTGTAAAGGAGAATTTGCCTGGTAGCACTAGCTGTACGTATACATGTGCTACCAGGTATTGTCTGTATACATGTAGTATGCATATAATCTATTGCATGAGATCACCTAACCTACATGTACATGTACATTTTTAGTAGTTGACCAGTAAAAAGGTCTGAGCTAACATATACATGTACATATAATGTACAGTGTTGGACTTTATTTCAAAGCAAAATTTAGTTTTGTTTAAGTATGGATACCGTTTTAAGCACTAATAGATGCCCCACTTACATGTACCATGCCCTTGGTATAAAATGCCTCAATTATGAAAGTGCAAGCAAGCTGTGCTACCTAGTAATTGAGAGAAATATTCAATTTACCTTCACCTTAGTACCCTTTTGGACTAATGACCCAAGATTGTTTCACATACTGGTAGTACCGGTATTCTTTCCTGGAGGGTATTTGATACAAATGGAGGAGATGAAATTGATACCTTTCTGAGATTACATGCTGATTGTTTAGATCCTAAGGGACATTGAACTTGGCCCTGGAATTTGGCTGAAAATTATAAGGGAGGTCATAGCCATTCATGCATGTGTACAGCATTGCATCTTGTAGTAGAGTTCTATTAAGAATCATCCATTTATGTTAAGATTTTTTTATGTTTTTAATTTTATACCCGGTCCACGGATGTTGGGTAATTCATTCATACAGAATATTAAGAAATACCTGATATTCCATCATTACACCAATTTTAATAAAATGGGGTTATAAATTTTTTTATAGAAATTGTCTTCAAAATTCCATTTTATTAATTTGAGCTTTAGAGGAATTTATGATAAGGAATTATGGTTTTATTGTTGTGAAGAAATTGTTGGCTCGCACCCAGTAGATAAAGATTGTGTGCTCAGTCTTATAATTAATTATTACTATCATTATTTGCTTTACCAGGTTCAATAAACTTAGGATCTAAACAATCAGCATGTAATCTAATAAAGGTATCCATTTCATCTCCTCCACAGAATTATGTGAATTTTTGTAAACAGTCTACACTGCACAGTCATTTTGTACTAACTAGAGCTACTGTACAATGGCTAACAGTTCTATTATATTTTTTGCTAATTTTGTGAGAGTTATTCTTTTATTTATAGCACCAAATTAACAGGCCTGTACATGTAAATATTTTGTCATCTATCAGTTGAAAATTACAAGTAGTAGTTAGTACATCACATTATACCATTGGAAAGAGTGCTAAGTGCTA